TAGATAACAGAAGACCCCCCCTGACTTTAAAGCTGGATCCGCCCTGTGTAAAACATCTACATGTTGCGATTAAAGGCCCAAACCAAAAGTTTAGCGAATAATCGGGCGCTTTTACCAGATACTCCCCTACGCGTAGTGGTTGTCATTGCGAGTGACACAAAGTCATTCATACAATCCGGGAACTGTCAGTTTCATTCATTGACTGCGTTCGCTCAATAGGGGAATATCGTGTAAAATTACCACTTGAAAATTGCTTTAAGTGGTTCCGCTTTCGAGAAACCGTGTGCCAAAGTTCATTTAACATTTTTCTGGGGAGTTTGTTGGCAACCGTCCGGGCTACAAAACTGACCAAAGTCGTGGTACTTCAGTTTCTTATAAACTGACTTGACTGCACATTTTTTTACATGTTTGGGTACCTTTCGCGACGATGGCTTGGGGAAGCCATTGTATAGGCGCCCCTTTTCCCAGCCGACGGGTTTTCCGAAGCCGTCCTCATAAATGGGCTTGAGGAGACGCCGGAACCCGGTCAAACTGGAACCCCACGTCGGATGCTGCAGATTGTTGCAACGCCCGTCAATCGAACGATACTTCGAGTGGAAGCACATGTCCGTGCAATTGATGGTGTTCCTGTGGGCGAGGCAACCTGAAACGTTGGTCTTGTTATTGGATATGAGAGCGCCGTGGAGTCGGCCTGGGTAACTCAGTGAATTTTTAAGAGTTGGCGCAACGCTGCCAACTCAACACAGTGTTACTCAGGCCTACGGTGGAGCCAAACCTGACAGTCTGGCAACGACGTCCAACTTTTCGGGAGTGAGAATCTCCTGGTAGTTGAACTCTTTGGTGTTGTTCATCGTGATGTGGCCCTGATCAATGTGTTTGCGAATGTTCGTGAGCGTTCGCTCGTAGACTTCGGCCGCTTTGGCCAGTTCGCGAGCCGGCGCGTTCGGGTAGCTGAAACGAACGGAACAAACGGTCCTCCAACAGTGCCCCAGCCGATCCTCCCAGACTTACCGAATGATCCGGAATAGCTCCGAAGGATTGGGGTTTTTGTTGTGGAGGAAACTCTCGATGGTGTTGTTGATCGCCTTGTCGATCTCCTGCGAGGCCTCAGTGAACGCGATCTTGATGAATTTGTCCCCGATGTTGCTGATCACCCCATTGGCCACAGCGGGGTCCTCTTTGACAGTCACGTAGCCGGAGGCGGAGTCGCGCCCATGCGCGTTCAGCGCCAAACACTCGTACCGCCCCTGATCTTCCGGGGCCACCCTGTAGATGTAGAGGTTGCCAGTTAGGCTGACCTTAAAACGACCAGTGCGCAGCATGCGTGCGCCATCTTTCTGCCAAGTTATGCCCGGATTGGGGTCGCCGGTGGCCTTGCAGGGGAGCTCGATAGTGCTGCCAATCAGCGCCTCAATGTTGTACGGCTTGTAGACCAACCTGGGGGGTTTGGTTTCGAAGCGCGATACCTACGAGTGTGTTTTTCATCTTGATGTGGCAACTGTGTAGGGTACTTGCCTTGACGCGTGCGCTCACTTCGCGCAGTCCCTGATCGTTGCGCGCCTCGCAAATGTACAGCCCTGCGTCGGTCTCTCGAGCCTCCTTTATTTCGATTGTTGTTTTGTCGGCGTTGTAGAAAACGCGGTCGTCGCTTGGCAGGATCTGCAAAATACCTTTTATGTACAGGGCAGGTCATTTTTAGGCTTTTAGGCACTTTTTTACGTGTTTTTAGATTCATTTTGAGGGCCATTTATCAATGATATTTTTTCAAAATTTCAGGATTTTTCAGTTGTAGCAAAGTGACTCTTTTGTCCAAATGCTCAATTTTAGTACAGGATTGTTTGATTTTGTCCCGTGTCTCTTAGGCAAGCGAAAACTTGTTTTGCAATATAAGTGGAAAACGTGACAACAGCGCAAACTTGCGTCCTATTTTCACCTCTAAAAACTCCTTGAACCACGAGATTTCGGGTGGGGGTGTTCCAGAAGCGGCGCACACCAACCGTATCGTGGAGCCCGCCACTACGTCCACATTCTCTGGCTGGATGGTGAAAATGGGCGCAACTGAAAAAGCCATCATGAGCGGTTAAAAAGCGCGATCCTCTCCTCATTTTTCACCTTTGATTAGCACGTTGGCCTCAGCCGACACCTTGCCATTGTAATTGGACGCTTCGCATCGATAAGTGCCGTGATCGGCGCCGCCGACGTTTCGAATCACCAGGGTCCCATCAGGGGTTAGTAGATGGTGCGGTGAGGAGCCCAAGCGTCGGCCGTTGTGCGACCAGGAGATTTCGGGAGTGGGGAACCCGACGGCCCGGCACTGGAGCTGGACTTGCGCAGTGCCGGGAGTGACTGAGACCGATTCGGGCGCGGTCACCAGTTTGGGCGTGCCTGCAAAGGCAGAGTTGCAAATCAACTGGACTGGTTAATTGTGGAGGAACCCACCATAAACCCCCTTGTCTTCGCTCGGGCCGTCATGCACCACCATTCGGGCGCGCCGACTCCTCACTTCGCCCTCCGGGTTCTTCGCCAAACACTCATAGAACCCGTCGTCCGTTTCGTCCGTGTCGGCCACCATCAGGGTGCCGTTGTCCATCAACTTGTACTTGCGGTCGTCCGGTACCAGTTCCTGCTCCTCTTTCATCCAGACTATCGAGGGTTCCTCGTCGCTTTGAACCGCGCATGTGAAGGTGGCGGTGCCGCCAATGGTAATTTGCACGTCCTCCGGATTGGTGACGATCTTGGGCGGCTCTGGAACCGGTCAGTTAGTGGGAGGAGTTGGGGGTGCGGTTTGAGTGATGGTACCACAGTGGAAGTGCGCATGCTCCATGCCCACCAGGCTTTTCCCGGTCATCTCAGTGGGCTGGGCACAATTGGCGGACGCCTGCAGGACCGTGTTAGTCAACATTCTGGATAGCCAGGCGATTTTGCAGTCGCAGACGAGCGCATTGTGGTCCAGGCGCAGAGCGCGCAAGCGCGGTAGGTTGTGGAAGGCTCCCTTGGGGATGATTTTCAGGTGGTTGTTGTAAAGGAAACTGCAAAATGGGTTTTGCTCAACAACGCCCTTGATTGGCCAGCGGGCAGAGACTTACAGTCGGTCCAAGGAGGGCAGGTTTGAGAAGGTGGCAGCACCGAATTCTCGCAGTTCGTTGCCGTGCAAGAGTCTGAAAATTGTAAATTATCCCCCAATTACACTCGTTGGCGCCAAATTGAGCGCAACAAACCCAATCAGCACGGTTGTTTATCCCAATTTCCGATTGAACAAACGTGCTCAAAATAGCGCAACAGCTGAAGGACGGAAGATTTAACGGAAAAATCGCCCGAACGGCACCAGATTTACTTGTGTGATTAATGGCGGAAATTAGTGCAAATATACAGATACGTTCACATTGAGCAAAAACAAACTTGCCAAAAGATGTTTGCCATCTGTTTCAAGACAAAGGTCGACGCACTTGAAATCAAACACGCAGTTTCCTCCAAGTTTTATTCAACCAGATGAACAAGCCTACTTACAGTCGTTCCAGTCGCTTCATGTGCTGGAACGCTCCGGTCTCGATGTACCGGATCCTGTTCTTGTACAGGTACAGATTGATCACATTGAACAGCCCTTGGAAGGTTTCGTTCTTCAGGCCGCTGATCAGGTTGTTGTTGAGCAGCAGCGAAGCCAGTCCATTGTGGGACGTGAATACTCCCGAAGGAATGTCGCGGATTTGGTTGAAGCGCAAATCACTGGAAAAAAACGGATTTAGTTTTGTCCAGCACTCCACTAAAGGGCCCGCTGCTTGACCAGCGATTTTGCAGTGCCTGGCCACTGGGCGTGTATCTTGGGTTGCCCGGGCATAGAAACGTGTAAAGGTATACAAAAATAACTGTAAATCGGCGGAAAATACATCTGAGTTTTAATAGCGCAGCTAATTGGAAACGCCACGTTTTCGATTAACTACATATTTTGTTTAGGCATTTATCTGGCCTTAAAGTTCGGAATTTAACATTTACCCAGCCTAAATATAGTGCTGGGAGTATTTAATAGCATTGTTGCCTTCCTTAATGACTGTCGAGATTGCAGGAATGTTTTTGAGGAGCGCTCAAAGCTACCACTTCTGAACGGCATTTTTATTCGATTATGGCTTGACTATCGTTTTTGCAATTCCAGACCGCTGCTCCTACAAGGCAAACGCCAAAAGATCGAAGGGGCCTTATAGACAGTGGGTCAAATAGGTGAATTAACCAGACACTTCACTGCTTACCTTTACGGCCCTGTTTTTAACGACTGATGGGTGTTAGTATAAGCCTTGTTCTATGGTGTTAGTTTGGGTTAATAACATTTATGACCGACATGCGGGTTATTTTTAGTCGTGAAACATACCATATGGTGGTCAGAGCGAATTTGAATAAATATCATGTATAAATAATGGGCAAACAGGCGTCAAGTTGCACTGCTGCTGATTCTTATGTGCATAAACATGTTTTATTTCCGATAAAAGCATGCAAAACTGCTTGGTTGAGCTGCAATTTGTTTGTGCAAAACGGCGATTTTTCTTTTCTTATTCGAAATTGTCGGTATTGCGAAAACACGTGTTTTTTTATTTCCGCTCAGCCTACAGTTAACTCCTGCCGAACACCATGTAAGTCGTTTTTACTGCAAAGTGGTTTACTGTTGTTGTATCATTTGATATATTGATAAACGCCCGATAAATCGAAAGGCTGGCGCCTGAATTAACGCTTGAGACTTTTGGTAGAAACGAGAATCCGATTTGCGCCCATTAATTAATAAAATTCTCCATTGAGAGTCGAATTAAGTGTTCGTACCCTTGGCCTGGTGCCATTAAGCCCGTCAAAATACGAGCGCAATCGGTTGAATTTATTCGGCAATTGATAAACTGGACCTCAAAAAGATAATGTTTTATCGCCGTTTAATTGGTGGCAACCATTACGCATTCGGTTCAAGTGCTCGGGAAACGAGCTGAGAATGAAAGCGCCGAAGAAGGAAAAAACAACGAGCTGAACCCGCCTGTTTCGGCAGGAATATGGGTTTGATGATGTTTGAGAACATGCACGGTTTGTGTATTAATAGGCGGATTACCGAATTTATTTTCGGTCACGCTCTGTTGATAAGTAATGGACCAGATGAGTCTATAGTGGGATTGATTGGCTCATGTGAAGCGGAATGAGCAGGAACAATTGAATGGAAACGCCGAATTGGGCTTCATTATCGCTGCATTTAACGAAATTAAGCAAATTAATCGGTAAAACTTGAAATGTTTGGCCAACGTTTTCGCCATTTCGACCCCGTGCCCCTCATCACGTAAATCAATTAGCTCCAGAGGTTTCAGGTCTTCAAGTCACCCAAAGACTTTTATTATTCTCTAATCAATCGCGTGTTGTTGTTGTTGTTGGTTTTTGTCTCATCGATGATGTAACATTTCGGCCCTGCCGAACCCATCCGATTATTGGAAGAACAAATCGCTTTTGTTCGTTTAATTATGCCAAATGATTCGTGACGTTACGCAATCCCGCCGTGTATGATCGAATATTATTAGCAGATATTATTCCCGATCGCTACAGGGTGTTCCACTGTTGCATGATTAACTGGTTTAACTACGCATAACGCGAAATGTCCTGGCAAAACCGCCCTCGTACATCGGGCAAGCGGAACAAGGACCAGCCGGTTTCCATGGCAACCCCCATATCGCTCTCGCTCTTGACCGCAGCCTCAACTCGATGGAGTCCAATGGGTTGTTGTACCGGGTGCATTCAAATGCTGTCTACTTTTTTCCAATAAACGTGTTTCAATCGAGAGTGGGCAACAGCGCGCTAGTGAATAGATACCTTGTACCCGGCCGTCTAATTATCACTTTTCAGGCACGCTAATTAGAATAACAAAGGGCCAAAGCTGGAACGTGTAAAGAGCGATTTTATGCAACAAAAAAACTCACAAAGTAACTGTGCGGTCGGAAATGGCCGTTGGGATGTGGTCCAGGGCCAGTTTCATGCATCGGACGGTTCGTCTGTAGCAGTTGCACTTTTTCGGGCAAATCAAGGGCGAAAAGTTCGTCGATTGCGGCCGCACTGCGAAGGGCCGAAGCAGCAGGAAAACCAGCAGCAGCGTGGCTGTAAAAAGGCGCATTTTTCGGCAGTTCACGTCTCGAATCTCTCAACAATTCATTGTTCATCGACACCAAAGAACGCGTGTGTTTTTCGTGTGGGAAAAGCGTCTTGACCGCTGCAAGCTCGCGATCGGCCCGACAACTGAAAGCTCGAAAGCGAAATCGAGTTGGCCGCGGACTAGGTGAAGAAACAGGATGGAAGAATTGGTTTTCGTTGGTACGGTTTAGCTTGGGCATGTGTTTGATGCTGAGCTATTTTTAAGCGGGCGTGCGAGCGGGCTCCGAGTTGGGAGCAAATCGGGCCCAAGTGCACAAAAATGCAATATTTTTCCCGCAACAATACACTTATTTTTGAGTGGACTATTTTCGACATAAAAAATCCTCAATGCGCATCAGTCGCCAGTTCAAAAAAAAGTCCACGATGGTCAAGCATGAAATTTTCCTCGAGGGTCCCAACATTTGTCTATTGTTTTGCCACTCCAAACCACTGTGTCCACCACCCAAATCCCAGTGGGTTGAAGTGTAAAAATAGTGAGGCAAAAGCACCCCTTTGGTCGGAAATAAAAGGCAACGTTTATTGAAAATATTTATTAATGTAAATTGATAACGTAGAAAAAACTGAGTACACGACAACAAAAGTGGCGTAAAAATATTACAAAAAATCGGTGCATTTTTGTAAGATTTTAAACGGGGGTTTAGTAGTAGAAAAGCGATATACAAGAGACTATGTTACAACGTTACAAAGACACAAATAGGCTACGGGGACTTGAGTAGTTAAGGCCATATGCGTGAAGGGCTCTGTATGGGAGGGGAGAGTGCCTTGCCATAACATGGGACTAGAAACAGCAAATATATAAATCAAGGCACCTGGTTGCTGTATGTACAGTTGTTTGACTTGTTCCCGCCAACGCAAATCGATTGTAGGCAATCACAGTTTAAACTATTTATACAACAAAAATAGAACTAAATTATCACAACACTTTCGAATTGGGGCTTCACACACCGAAGCCGGCTAACAGAGGGTGGGAGAGGGCAAGAAGAAGGAGACAGACATTAACCTAAACAGATTACTTAGCAATGACACTACAAGCGTCGTCATTGTATAAAATGTAAGTACAGGTTTTAAAAAACCACGCCCTCTCCGAGGGCGTGGATGAACAGCTTCAAAAAATGGCAGTTTCGATTAATTAATGTGATGAGCTCAGCGCCCACTCAATAACAATGAGTAATTTTCGTTTTAATCAAAAAACAAACGAACAAATCAATAGGAAGGGAGTCCGAAACATTGGCCAAGAATATGGAACAAAGTGCTCAGCGGTCAAAACAGACCCTTCTCCTTTTTGAGGGACGTTTTCTTCCATGAGGGCAACTTTTCGAACTCCTCCTTGGACATTTCCAACAGCTCTTGGAAATCCGAATCGCACAAATAGACTTCCAGTTGAGTGGGATCCACGCCTTTCGGTAGCGGTCTCTGGAGGATTTCGGCCAGCGGATAAGTGGTGCGCGACAAAAGAGCCAATTCCCGCTGGATTGACAGTTTGTCGTTCTCCTTCTTTCCATCCTGCCAGCGAAACCGGGTCTTGTCGTCAAACAAACACAGATTTTCTCCATTACTCTCACCTGTAAGCTCAGCTCTTTGACATCGGGCCGCACTTTCCACGTGGGAAACAGTTGGGTGAACTCCAATGGTTCCAAGCCCGCCCACACCGCGTGCGCGACCACTTCGCTGTCGTCGCCGTGGATTTTTCGCCAGTAATTAATTGCGGTTTGCATTGCCGCTCTTCGCTCAGCCTGCCATCTAGATAGCGCGAAAAAGTGTTGACCGAAATAACGAACATTTCAGAACATTGCAACTGACCTGATGGCGCCTGATCCAGTTTGATCAGTGTTAAGTTCGCTGTCTTCGTCGTTCTCGGGCCACCAGCCCTGCCACAGCCACAGCTCGTGATGGTTGTCGAACAGCAACAACCCTACAAGGCGCAAAATTAAGCAAAACAGGGACATTTTTTTCAAAAGCCTGCCGAAGGACGCACCTGGTTGGCTGGCACTGTACAGCTCGTACTGGACGAAAGGATACGGGCTGGAATGCTGGCTGCGATGCGGGCACAAAATCTCGCTGGCTGTGAAGTCGCCCGTGATGCTCGACATCTTGAACAGCCTCGGAGTGAAGTCGAACTCCTCCTCCCGCTGCAGGAGAGAGTGGTAGGCCGTGCGATCGGCGCCCAAAAACCCAGCAAACTCGGCGCTTTCTTCACCCTCCACCATCTCGGTCAGGCACGCATCAAGCGCCAGATCTTCAGCAAAGATCTCCAGAGGTATCGCCTTCAGCAATCCTTCAGCGATCTTCACAGTCACCTGAAATCAGCGCTGTTACATCTGGATCTGGAGCGACTGGGTGGGCAGAATTACCCTTCTCTTTTGCTCGCTCGCTTTGCATCCGTGCCACACCATCAGGCCGTGCTTGGCGCCAGCCTGGACCAGCACGAAGCTAGATCGGCTGCGCAAACTGGCCATTTCGAGCGGCACCTCCATCAGGTAGGCCTCGCCTTCCAGCTCGCCTCTAGCTATGAACAGTCGGGGCCGCTCTCTTACGGGTTCGCCGCCCCTTTTGCCGTGGTGGATCACCATGCCGCCCCCGAACAGCCGCAGAAAGGCGGCCGGCTCGGAACCCTGAACAACGCGCACTTGCGGCGCGTTTTGCTTGTCCAGCTCGACGGTGAGAAAGGCGGCCGTGCACTTTTCATTGATGGACGATTTGCTGCCGTGCCAGCAGAAGAAGACGCACATGTCGCGACCAACTAGGGCGTGTTTGGACGGGTTACCGTTCAGTTCCCGGCCCTTGACGGTTTGTCGGAAGCGCCATGAGTAGATGTAACAGTCGCCGTCGTAGAGTTGACCTAAAAACGTGCCGTTATCACACCAATCAAGTTTAACAGCAACAACTTGCCGATGGACGTTTCTCCCAGTTCCTCATGAGTGTTCTCCATGATCCGCCAGGCCTTGATCTCTTGCGTGTCGTACTCGAAGAGGCGGCGCGTTTCCTCGTCAAAGTGCCGCTCGCCCCGACCCAGATGGGTATTCTGGATCACTAAATCTGGATCGTCGCCCTTGGCCTTCACCATTTCGTCCACGTTACAGGGCTTGATGACGATGGACCCGTTCCCGCGCTTCAGCCCTTTACAAAGAGACATCGTTGTTATTGCCTGAGTGAAACTGGTGAGTTTTTGGGGAATTTAGGGGAAAAAGTGGTGGTTGCATCATCATCTCACCTGGATCGCTATTCCTCATCCGAATAACTCGGGAATAGTCGGGCCAATCCAGGAATTTCTCCCGAAACAGCACAGTTTCCCGGTGCTGGGTGATTTTGGCAAACAAGGCCCAAGAAGGGCGGCTTTCCGCCTTGAGTGGCAGTTCTTTGGCTTGGCGTTCTCCCAGCGCTTCCACCACGTTCAGGGGATTGACAGTGCAGTCACTGTAGTTGTAGCCTTCGGCCCACATTTCCTTTGCCAGTTTAAGGGCGATTTGCTTGCGGTCCAGAGGCGCATTTTTGCCGCTCCACACGTACATTTCCGACCCGAAGTCGAAGACAATCACGTTGGTTTCGCTGAGCATTTCTATTTTGGGAATCGAGCCCCAATAGGGGCTGAAAGGCGCCAGCTCATTGTCTTCGACCACATAGACCATGTTGGTTTGCAGGATGTTGGATTCGAAGGATTCATCCTCATTCGGGTGCCCGGCGTTTACAGTTTCCGGCACATCCGCCGCCCCCAGCAGCTTCCAGAACTCTTTTAGCTGCCGCCTGGCCACGTCTTTGCTGCCCACAGCGATCACTTTGCTGACTCTGCAGCCCATATCGCCGGTCTTTTGGATGTGATTGGCCACGTCCGCCGCCCTACTCTGCTCGATCACATTCGAGAAGATGCCCGCGTAGTTGTAAAGGGCGGTCGGCGTGATCAGCAGATAGCAGTCGCCCTCATTGATGCTGGAAACGACCGGCTCGACCAGGCGCGTTTGAACCTGGCGCCTGCCCTTGATCTGCAACAGCATGATTTGCTTCCAAGGTTGCAGTAGGGTGGTGGCTGCGCCCTTTTTCAAGGCTACAGCCTTGAAGTCCTCGTTGCTGGCCAGGCCCGCTAGCGCTTCGACCGCTTTGTTCGAATTCTCGGCCACTGCAAGAGGGAAAATTGCCAGTTTGATTGCCCGCTAAGCTGAGAAAACTTACGCTTCTCAATGTTCAGTCTTTTCTTTTCTCTCTCCGCCACTCCGGTGATGGTCTCAGTGTATTCGCTCGCAATGTCGGTTCGCACTGCCAAAGCCTTAATCGGGTTGCGGGACTGGCCGCGCCGCCTTCGCACCTTCAACGGCAATACATTTCAAAAAACTTATTTCGAACTATGTTTATTAATGTTAAACAGCAGTCAATTAGATTTACCTGGACATTTTTCTTGAAGCTCAACAGCGACTCGCGTTCGACCGCATCCAAATCTTCCGCATTGATATCCAAACGTTCCGTTGTGGTTGTCGACTTTTCCACACTCTCGAAGAACGCTGTAAAAGTGTTGTCGTCCGGCCTCAAAATGGGAACCACGCGACTTTTGATTGGTGTCGATTTTTCTGGAAAAATCACGTGTTGATGGAGTTGAGTGGATTGGGGCGATTAGCCAAAGTTACCGGGTGTTTTGTAGAGCGCGATCGGCGCAAGGGCCGATTGGCTTCTGGTCAAGTCGAAGTGGGTGTTTTTCTCTGGCGAAGCGGGCGTTGACGATGAGTCTGAAACAATCATCAACTCCAACTCGCTTGTGCAATCAAAGTCGTCGTCCATTTCAATAAGACGCACTCTACTTTAAACAATTGCAAGTATTTACGATCAAGTTTTAAGATATAGACTGGGGCAATAAATATTTATAATTTAATTGCATACACAGTGAGTTTCGCGACACGTACTGAAGCTAAAGTGCGATTTTCAAACGTCCTGTATACCCAATAATGCCGCTATCTATCAGCAATTGATAAGCCTGAATGATTGTTTATTTTATCAGCTTAATGGAATAAAAAGTGCCAGTTCCATGGCTCTAGATTCAAAAAATTTACCTTCTCTACCCTTGTATCGCTTCGCATGTGGCGTTCGCTTTGCCTTGTCGGCGGCTGGGATGTTGATGGAGGGCACCGCATCCTTGATCTTTTCGCTCATCTTTCCCGCAACCGAAAACTTTTCCGCATCGGTTTTCTCCACACGGTTTTTCCATTGCTTGGCCGCCGCATCCAGTTCGTCTTTCTTAGCGGCCAACAGCGACTTTTCGGACAATTCATCCTGCAAACCGCCGTTTGATGTTAGTTTGGTAAAAATGTGGCACAGCAGTAGAATCAAAATCGCGGTGGCGATTAGCAGCCACATTTTGAGAGGCTTTTAAGCTGAAAAACCACCGGAGCGAACCGATAACTGCACTAGAATGCGAGTTGTCAGATAACTTGGCTCGCCAACATTTTTTGACTCATCGGAATTTTATTCGCTTTGTTTCTTGATTAGGAACGCTCCGTTGCCATTGCAGGAACATTTACAGTTCGAACCGAATGTGATTAGTGTGGAGTTATTGGTCATCGCACCTATGAGCAAAGACAAGAGAACAAAATTTTCCCAAAAAGTCCGAAAAAATCGCACGGCATTAAAGCTCAATTATGATATTTTCCTTGTGCAGCTGAGAGCTCGTCGATGTTCATTACCTTGTTCAATACCATTGGGATCAAAGCGGAAATGAACGAATAACCTTTTTCATGTAGCCGAATGTCAATAACGAGGCCCGCCAGCCATGGAAAAAATCAGTCACGAACGCTTTATAAAAACTAGACTTAGGACGAGGTGACGGAATCATGACTTGCATGCGGAAATCGAAGTGAATTTCTTTCTCACTTTCTAGCCAAGACCGATAAGTTCGGTTACAAATTCAGGTCGCATTTGCTCCATATGCCCCTAAAAACTGGCCAGTGTTTCCATATGGTGACCATGGCAACCAGCGGCACATCGACTAGGGGAATATCTGGTAAATTTGCCCGGTTTCGAAGAGTTCCTGCACGGACAATCGCGCAAAACCCAACTTACACCCGTGTCCCATGCATCCGCTTGTACGATGATACGATGGTACGAAAGTGTTTCTATTGGTTGGAGATCTGTCAATTCGTACGACGACGCCCAATAGAAACACTTTCGTACCATCGTATCATCGGATGCGGGCTTTAGAAGATGCGTTCTATGTTGGATAACGTGGGTATTTTGTGCCAAATTTCAGGTTGAAGAAATACTGAAGTCCAATAGCTAAATAATCGGTGATTTTGCCTGATATTCCCCTATGTGTGTAGAGTTGCCACAACGTCATTCACACAATCTGCGAACTGACAGTTGCACTCATTGACCGCCGTTCTCCTCACAGGGGAACATGGGGCAAAATGATAGCAAAAGATTTTGCAATCAACTTACATTGTACCGGTTGCGTTCCTTGAGCGACTTGAGCTCGTCGCCGCTGTTATTGTTGACCGGCACCCGCTTCATCCACCCTTTCTCTCCATTCTCCTGCAGTTCCGCCCGCAAGGCGGCAATGGAGCGGGGCATGGCCCCAGCAGTGTGAGTGTGCGACCTAAAACTCGCTCAGATTAACCGGAACTCACGCCACATCGGTCTGGAGGAGTGTGCCAACCTGCGAAGAGTGGACGAGGCCTTGCGGGGCGTGGTATCGGGATCCTCCAAGCCGGCCGACTGCTCCAAGCTGTTGGAGTTGCCTGAATAGTCACATGCTTTGGGCCGCAAAATTGAGGAACTTTTGCTCTTCGCCAGGCAGCCTTCTAGTTGTTGTCTGAAAAATGCAAACGGTATGACACAGCTTTCTCCAACGTGTTGCTTTGGTAAATATTTACTCCCGAGTACAAATGAGCGGCTATCAATCAGTTTAGCGCTAATGAGGTCGCCGCAGTTAAGGAGGCCTTATCGGCAGAGGAAATAATCGAACATTGGCCGCAATGGGCTTTTATTGCCGTTTAGCAATGGCTTGTTTGCGGCCACTTTCACAATTCACTTTGAACTCGATGCCAAATCGAGCAGTCGGAACCTTTTTGTAATACCACTGGGCCAGTTGCGTCACTGACGAAAGACAAAACGTCCATTAGCCAGTGACGTCACTGCATGGATCACTCCACAAGAGGACCATTAACAGGAAGCGCGCCGTCCCGAAATAGAGCGTCTTCCCGGTTTGGTTGTTTGACATTTGACGCGCCCCAATCCGCCGCTTGTATTTTTAGGCAGCCCCATTAGGGCTCTCTTAGAAACACGCCATGGCATGTTTGAACAGGTGGAGGATCGGCCGCAACCGGTCAAACAAACAACCGAAAATGTTCCAAGTTGATTGCGCATTTCGGCCAAACCGCGACATTTTTGTCTCTATCCTTTTAGGGGTTAGGAATGTGTAATAGAGCGGAGTTTTTTTCCAAAATACAGTTCAGCAAATGTCCTTTCGAAACATGTGTTTTTTGAAACACAGGACAATGTCGAATCGATAAAGAAATGCACTTTTCCTTCAGTAGGTGCATTAAGCAATCAATAAAGCACGAAGCCTTTTCAGATTACTCGCAAAAGCTTTGTTATTCGCTCGGCTAATCGCCAATGAAACATCAAGCTAATCCCTAGTGAACGATCGTAAATCGCGTTTATCACCGATTCACACACACGTTTAGCGTTTGGCAATGGTTTGAAAGGAAACCTTGAGACCCTCTCAACCAGATGCTGTGCAAAAACACCCCTCGACTTTAGAGCGGGTGCTTTAACCCCCAAAAAGGGGATCGATTGAAGCTGCTAGACGCGGTCTGGCGACAGTGGGGTAACAACGGGACAAACAAACGCCAAAGTGTGATGTTTAGGTTTGTTTAGGGTTTAGCAAACATGTAGATTCGGAAAAAAACGCGATTCATAACAGAATTAACTACACGATGTTATTCAATATATTGAAACACTCGATAATGACGAGTTTGATTAACATGCCCTGGCTGACCCCGACAGCAATTAAAAGTGCCTGTTACATACACAAAGGCAGTGGAAGCTGTTACTTAATTAATTCATGTTATCAGCACATTAAAGGCGAGAAAAGTGTGTTGCTTCCAGCCTAGTAAGTGCACAAACATTCGAAATCGAAATTCAATTTTCCTCTAATAAAACACGTCCTTGACACAGTCCGCAACCTGGTCGCTTATTGAATATCAGCACCAATCGAACTTAAATGGCCAGTTTCCCAAATAGATCCTTCGGACTCACCCAGGGGGAACAGTCCACTAGATTTTTCAGCAATTTTGCGCGATTTTTGACGCAAAACAAATGCCGTTCGAAAAAAAAGCGCGCGCGCGCGCCAATTGACGTAATAAATTAACGACGCAACCACAGCCTACTACTACAGCCCGACGCGGTGCACTTCGGACGACTGACGGCTGAACGGTTTTTTCGTCACGGTGCAAGAACAAATGAATTACGCACAGGCCACGCCTCCCTCAATTGTTGACAACAGTGTGACAGGTGCCGGAGCACTGGACGTTCTTCATTTCGCCCATAAATACAAGGATAACCAGGAAGCTGCGAAGAATGTCGGCACGCTCGCAATTGCAAAATGATGTGCAGGTTGCGCAATTCCATCGGATTAGCATCAAATCGGCCGTGCAATCAGGCATTTATTGTCGGCGTTCCTTCGTTTGCCCACTGGTGCACATCAATTACATCAAACAACAATCTTCTTCGAATGTTGCAACCGATAAGCGCTCAAATGCCAAGGCAATGACTTCGTGGCTTCACATTTTTCCGGCTCTTTCGTCACTTAGTTTATTGCCCCATCGTCTCGACAAGCGATTGCTCAACTGGGTACATTTCTCCAGCTCCTCGTATACGCTCGATTGGGTGTTGCAAGGCGGTTGCCATGGTTACCGCTGATTGCTGCCACGCTCATCCCAACCTACAGGGGCTGTGCGTTTCATAATTCACCAGTTGGGAACGTGAAGATTATTTGTCAAAATACCAGTTGTTCAAAGCATTACGTTTAAAATATTCATTAGGCGTAAAACTTTCTAAATTTAATGGGTTTTCAAATGAGCCTTTAAGTTCTTTTTAATTCAATTAAGACCACTGTTACTACTGAAACGGAAGTTTCGGATTTGCGGCCATCATCAGAAATTGGCGCTCAACCTACAAAGAAAATGCCTCATTAAGCCCGTTTAACCAACGATTCTTCGTCGGACGCGAGCCGTATTTCAAATCAGGTACAAAATCTTGCACGTTGCCATTAAAACGCACAGAAACAAGGAACAGGTTGCGATGTAAACCCAGTGACGGAACCCAAACTGGTTTTCTTCGAACTGCAGATTTCTTTTCACCTCGATTTCTTCCGGGGTGAATCATCAAATCATCAATCATCAGCACTAAGTGCTGATAAGAAGAATCAGTTCAAGAACAATCCCAGGGTTGGCTGAAAAAATGTGCGTCCTTCCCCCCCCGCCGCTGATTTGATGAAGATGCGAATGAAGAAACCAGGAAGAATATGAAGACAGAATAGAATGGATTTCAAATTGGTGCGCTTTTCGAGCTTTGACAGTGGCGGAAAATAATGATTTGAGCGGAAAAGCTGCACCTATTTGAAGCATTTCATTCATTTTCAACTTAGGTATAGTATACACCATGGAAATGTATATTTTAAGGAAAAAATCATAAGCCGTCCGCCCTGTAAATGTTCACACTTTCAACACCCAATAGAAACCTACAACGAGCAATGCGAATGAAATACCGAAAAAGACAAAAAAAACATCGTGTGCACAGAAGCGTAAAATTGCAGCACTTCTTCGGTTAGTGTCCGGCTTTTGTGGTCAGCAATGAGCCGATGGAGAAGGTCACTGACTTCCCCATAAAACATGCCGCACAAAAATGGCTTAGATTATTCAATAATAAAACGATTCGCGGAAAACGGCCTCTTTATGGTCAGGCATTATCAAGCGACTGGCACCCATCGGACACATCAACAGGTAAATCATGAAACCATCCGGACCCAATCGCTTCCGGCCGATCATGCTGTAATCAAACCGCGCTCGCCCTGTATCAAATTAATGAGATCTCGCCTACTCGAGCCGCTTTATATTTAGATGTTTTATTTGCGGGCAGGTCTTTGCCACTTGTGCCGCTTCCAACGCAACTTTATCTAGCACCGCATACAGGGCGTTCAAAATTAAGACCAAAAAACAGATCACATTTGTCCGCTCACTAAACTACCATCAATCACTTACTTGAAGTTCAGATTGAGTTTGTTTTCGTTGCGGAAGATGCGCTTCACTTCGCGCCCCCCCGAGCTCTCGCCCTCCGATGTCGTGTCGTCTCCTGCCGTGCTCACGTTGACGCTAATCTTGGCAGGCTTTGGCTTTGCCTCAGAGCCTTCTGAGTCCGATCCGGAGCCGTTGCAGGAAATTCCCTCGTCGTCCTTATCGGTGGCCACATCAGCCCTTGACGGCTTCACCTGGTGGAAGGCGGACTCGTGGCGCAGGGGCTGGGGCGACTTGGCGCCTTTAAGGGCAAACGACTGACTGCGCCTGGGCGCTGCCGCCCCTTCTGGGCTCAGAGGCTTTAGAATGCCGCGACGTTCACCGGCTGCTAAATCTGCAACATTCGGAGGATGAATTACAAGGACTGGGGTTGGGAGCTGTTAATGCAACACACCTCTCTCCAGACGTTTCTTCAGGACCTCATCAGCCAGACTCTTCATGTGATTGGCCATTTCGCTGCGAAGCGTCAACTCTTCGGCTTCTTCGTTGGGCTCTTCAAGCTCCAATCCGTCGCCCAGCGACTGAAACGCTGAGTCCGAGGAGGTTTTATGGCACGTGGGGCTTTCGGGGGAAGCCTAATTTGCCCCCCAAGAACACCAACCAGTCAGCAAATGGCAGGACAAAGCAAACATCAGCAACTCACCGGCTTTAGGGATGTGGAGTGGAACGGCGAAGTTAGGAAGCAACTCAGGCGACTCTCATCTTGCAGTGAGGCGAAACTTTGCGTTCCAGTGTCCAGGGAGCGGGACGAACTGGACAACTGGTAGGCGACGAGTTGCGAGGGTCTGCTGGATGAGTCTTCCTCTTGGCGCAGCAAGTTGCGGCTGAAAAATTGAACAGTTTTTACCTGTCTTGGCCCATAAAATAACCTGTGTCTGTCCTTGCCCAACGTAGTTGGAAAGAACGAAAAGGCACTACTGCGTGAGTAGCTGCAGCAGCTAAACAGCACTCACCGATAAAGTGATTTAGACGCAGCTGGCAGGCGAATCGCGGAAGATCAACTGAACAGTGAATTTGGCGATCGGCTAATTTTAGAAGCTCTTGTGAAACTCGAGGGAACGGTGCCAAGAGAAAAATGCGTATTTTGAGGAAAGCGCGAACGCAGTGGTTTTTTGGCAACTGGCGATGTTTGCCAACAAGTCGATTCAATGAACAACTGCTGATTAGATTAAACATAAATCAGTTCGGCGCAAGGTCGACAAGAAGCATCGAAATGGCGATAAATGGGCTCACCTTTCCTCCAACTCGTTGGAGGTGACAGGCTGCGTTCGGTAGCGGTCGCTGCTTCTCTTCGGGCACGGCCGTTTCGGCACGGCGCCCGTGCTTACCGCCCCACCCACTTGCTTCTCAAACGTCTTGACCAGTTCCAGCACGGACAAGGTTCGCGCCTTCCTCAAGTCCCGATCGTCCTCCTTATCGCGAGTGATTGCGTTCGATTGCACATTAAAATCCGAGCAGATCGTGTTGGGGCGTCTGGAGCTGCGCCTGCGACTGTCTGGTTCTTCTGATCTGTCGCCGCAGAAAGACAGCCGTGGCCTTGGACAATCTACGGAATCAATCAAACCTCAGAGGCGCTGCGATTGGGCGCTTTGAAGGAGCTTCCTACCTTCCGCAGCTTCTCCGGATGAGAACCTCGAGTGCCAGCCCTCTTGACCAGTGTCCAGCGCCTCTCTGCTTCCTCTGGGGAGTTTCAGGATGGGCCTGATCGGTTTGCTGTCGTCGCCATCGTCGGTGTCCGTGCTGGACTTTTTCTTCAAAATGGGCTTTGGCGTGTCTGACCACGTGCTCTCACTTGAAAAAAGTTTACGTACTTACTTAGTATGTACGATCATAGCCCGAGCTTCCACGTTATTCCTTACCTAAACGAACACTCTTCGGAGCTTTTCTTCTTCAAAATGGGCCTCACTGGGTCTTGAACGTCGGGTTCCAGAATCATTTCGGCCCCGCCTGCAGCCGCCAGGATCACTGCAGTTGTGATGGAGACATGTGGAGTGCTGCCAGTGCTGCCTGTGAAGAACAAACGCCTTTACGTAAAAGAACGAGCGGGTTTTGAGAGTTGAAGGACCTGCACTGCTGGCTCCGGAGCGGCGCTTCAGGATGCTGTGCGGAGAGCTCAGTGAGACATCGTCCTCCTCATTGCGGGAGGGCTTGCGCTTGAGGATGCCCTGAATGTGCGGCTCGGGCGACTGGAGGCAGCGCAGCTCTTCCAACGAGGACCTTCTTTGACTCTTGAGGATCGATCTGAGGTTGAGTGAAATGCGTAATGAATGAACTTTTTAAGCAAGTTGTGAGTTGAGAAACGTACCTGAAGTCTGAAGCTTTGTTGGCAACATCCGGACTGCAGCTCCGATGCCGCATCACTGTGGACTCGTCCAGACTGCGTCGCTTCTTCAAGATGCCCTGCTTGCGTTTGGAGGTGGCCGGATCAACGACGCTGGGCGAAAATGTGACTGGCGGCGTATGTGTGGAGTGAGGGTCAGTCTTTTCATCTGAAAAAAAAACGGACGTTCAGGCGGCCTCGGTGTTTCTTGGAAAAGCTTACCGCGAGCCACTGTTCGCTTCAGGATGGAAACGGGCGCTGCATGACTGGCAGCAGGAGGCTCATTCTTAACAACCACTGCAGTCTCTTTCTCTTCTCTCCGGTTTCGTTTCAAGATCGATGATGGTCCTGCTGAAGTTCTATGAACGTTCGAGGGTCTCGCTTCCTAGAAGTGAGAAAATGAATATTTGCAGTCTGTTCAAGTAAGTTGAATTCGTTCCGTTTGTCCGACAAGTCACTCACCAGTTTGGCAAGACTCTTTGGAAGCTCTTGCGTCCGATTGGCCAGGCGCTCTACGCGGGCCAACGTTTCCCTGGTAAAGGCCGTGAGTTCTTCCATTCTTTTGGCAATATTTCTGCTGGTTTCATTGTCGGACATCGACGTCCGCGCTCCGCTCATCGACGCACCGACACTCTTCTCCTTGTCCGACGATTTGGCCTCCGTGGAGGTTGCGATGCGGCCCTTGGCGGCATTTGAACTGTTCCGGTCCTTAGGACTGGATGTTTGGGCCCTGCGGGCCGCAAATGGCTTGTATTTGTGAGGGTCCGAGGCGGTGACGCTTTTCCTGGCGTTTGCCATGTGAACAGACAGCTCGGAGCGCCTGAAATATCCAAGAGTTAGAATGCAAGTGCTGTGCACAATGGGACGGACACTCACCGTGGGACCAGAGTTAAGGGGGCGCTGTTCGACGTATAGAGAGGGCTGGAGGGCGAAATTGAGGCAGTGGAGAGTACAGGCGAAGGCATGGCTGATGAGGCAGATTGGTGATTGGTCGAAGATTTGGGCGCCTGACTGAGCACCTCTTGCGGGAAGAACCGGCGGCGCCTTCTGGCAGTTTTGGCGTCATCTGCAACGGCAACTCTATTACTTACTTGCGCTCTTTACCTAGAGGACGCACCAGCCTACCATAGGAACAAGTTGGGGGCGGCACCACTTCAGAGGTAAGGGACCGATTGAGGTTCGACTTGCGCTTGCTGCTCTTGTCGCGTTCCCCTCCCCTTTTGGGCGACTCTTCGTGGTGCGACAACATGGTCGAATTCAAACGCCCCACTCCAGGCTCCAGATTTGGGGAAGGGGAGAAGCCGCCAAGAGGAGTAATGGACGATTGAGAGGCTTGAGCCCTCAATCGTGAGGCGCGGGTGGGGCGCGGCCCCTCCGAGCTACTCGAGGAGCCTGCGCCATGAATGCGTGGCGACTCCAAGTTGCCGAAATCGGCCGCTAGCTGCTTGCGGCGCTCCTCTTTGTACCGGGCGATTCGACTATTGCGATTTTCCTGCAAAGGGGAAGAAACGCCAGTGTGTTAGAAAGAAACAGTCGCTTAAAATGACGACCCCCTTGTCTAGATTCTGTCTCTTTTAACCTGTGGCGATATGGGTGACCACCTTGTCGCACTTGCAATAATAACTAACTAGCGATCTGACCACGATTGAAGAAAATTGACTCACCTTGAAATTGTCTGCCATGGTCGTTGCATCAGGGCAGGAGAAAGGGCGCAACCATCTGGGCAATTTACTATTGAAGCGTGAACGTCGCTGGGACCTACCTGCAAAAAATTGAACAGTTTTATGCGTTTTTCCTGGTTCGCACAGCTCAAGAACGCACAATAATGCACTTTCGATTCGGCCTCGCCTATCTCAACTATAGGAAAACGCGGGCAAACAATTTAAAAATAAATCCATTACGTTTCGCCTGCCGGCATGTGTACATCATCCATAAACATGCGAATTAATCGGAAAGCGAAAAAACGCGCCTGGCCGCTGTGTATCAAAAGGATCAATCAAAACACACACTTCAGTCTGGGGACTTTCTAACAAAACACAATGACACACATGTTCACATTTCGAAAGGTTATCGATGCCGATTAGGAAAGGACATTGATAAGGAACGGGCGCTTTAATCACGTCGCTTCGTTTACTCAGTGATTGTCTGTATCAATAAACAATTAGCTAAAAATAATATTTCGTGTGTCAGGAAGGCGGGGCTCTTATGGCAAGTTTGACTAAGACAACGGACGAAAAATTGGTCAAAATTTCGGGAAAAAACACACTCACTAAACACAGTTCCACTCAACAACCAGGGTGTTTGGTTTGCAATGTTCACTGGCGCCAGTACCAGAGTAAACTGGCCGAAAAGCACCGTAAATCTGCGAGTAACACATGCATGGGTACCGGTGCTGGCCAATGGGCGAAAAACTACCCAATGGCCATGTAGCTAAACGACATACAGGGTGTTTGAACGATTAGATAAGTTGAACGTTCCTGGCGGACAAAAATCCCGATCGGAGTGTTTAAGGCGCCGCTACATGGTTGGACAAAAATCCTTTTCCAGTCATTTAAAGTGTTTTAAATTAATTCGTGCACACCCTGTATGTCAACTGAAGTGGATTCCACATAATGTGCCCGGGGCGAAAGTGGCAAATATCTGATACCTGTTGTTGACTGATTGATCGATCGATCGTTCAGGCCACCTTAGCCCGCAAAGTGCAAACCTGAAGTGAAAGCGGCCGAATTTGGCAATAATTGGCAAGTGAAAAGCCGCGCAAAATGCCCTCACCTATGGGCAAATAGTGTTTTCATTCATGCCTCACTTCATTGACACGACGATTGAAAAAAACAAAAGTCCGTTGGCTAAAAATCCGGCCAATTGGGCGCCTCTCCATCGACAAAAGCGCAAAACTTCCAGTGCGGTTGTTTCCATTTTTGTGGCCGGACAGAGTCCTTGCGTTCCGTCCTTGGACAGTTGCATGGTTTCCAACGTGAGGTACGGTACAATCACGTGCTTTCATGGTTTTCCACTATTCCATTTTTTTTCGCATCAGGAAGTGTTCTAAATCTCTTGGAACTGTGAGTGTGTTTTTCGCCGAATGAATCACCTGGCAAGTGCATTTACGAATACATTGATAAATTGCCGCATTTCGAGCGGAACGGGGCGCACCGTCAACTTGGCAAAAATAACTTCTTTAGGCGCGTACTCACGGAAACTTTCCAAGTGGGATCGGAGTGTCGTCCGAACCCCAATGAGAGTAGAACCCGGGGTTTACGTCCAACCAAGGTAGAAAACCCGCTCGGACACGGCAAAAACCCACCAACGGACTGAGTGAGAATCTCAAATCAACTATTTCGAGATTTGCTAAAACCCGCACTGCTGCGCCGCTGGCTCGCGATTTGTCATCGGCATGCCTGCCCTACCAGCTGGTTTCTTTGTTTCAAACTCGCTTTCCAATGCATCATCAGCAAACCCCATCCAGTTCGCTAGTTCAGCCCTAATGGGTTCGCTTTGGGCAAAGCTGTGGGCGCATTAATCAGTCAGTGTTGACCTCAACCAGGTGACTCATCGACTACAGGTTCCCAAACCTGGTCAGCGTCGGCTGAAGAACGAAACTCGGTCACCGTCATCTTGGCCCATCCAGGAACTCGATTAGGTAACGCAAAGTGAAAATGCGACCGTGCTTTCACGCATTAGTTATTATTCAATATTCGATTACATCAAACGCTATTATTAACCGGCTGTGATGGCCGTGCGCTAATTGAAAAATCCACCACTCAACTGTGAAACCCCAATTTCGCCTGCTCAAAAATTAGTTTACAGATAACATTTTAGAATCACTGCTACCAAAACTCGACAGGCAGTTGGTAGAGTTCCAACCAATTTGTTGTTAATAGTAAATAACGTAAAGAACGCGAAACAAACTCACCCACTTTGCATCGGCGCGCACTGCCTGCATGGGCTCGTTTACGCCGCCGCACTTGCATCGTCCGCATGCCAAATTACAAGACGGTTAAAGGAACAGACGATTTATTCGGGCAACTCTCTCAAAACAGGTCCTTATTTTAAACAATACACTTTATTACAAACATCCAATATTAAGCTAGTGAGGATTTGAAAGGCGACGGTCATTTTCGCACAATTTTTGCTTTCAAAATAACGCTCAATTACGACACTTGTTGACATAACCGTCAAGAATCCGTCAAACTGTCATAGGTGCCTCCCCCTGATTGTCAATATCACTGACAATGTCAAAAAGTCACTGTTGTTGACATTAAGTAACACTCTATATTAAAAGCACAGCATTAAGGGCCTAGTCTAGGTCTACATCTAACTTAGCTGTCGAATCATCACAAAAGTGTTCCGGATTGTTAACTAACAGCTAATCAAAACGAACGGAAAAAGGTCGAGTTAGGGCAGCAGACAGTGGACTGGATCCGCCCAGTCTAAAGCGCAAGCGGACGACACAACGATCACTCCAAAAGGGCGCTGACAGGTTGTGAATTTTTTTTGGGTGGCAACTGGTCTAACACACTAATTAACCTACAAGAAAAACAGTGGTCACAAAAAAACGGGGACAGAGTAACAGGCTACATGTATAGCATACCTACGTCAGCTGGGATGCAAGATGCACAAAAACATAACAAAGATGCGCTAGTATTGACGGCAAATCTCTAACACAATTGCCCGTCGCTAGGCGGCCGGTGTAAACCCCCTCAATTGCCTTCAGACAACGAGCACGTTTACATCACAATCGTTTGTCAATGGGAAGCGATGGATGATTCAAAGTGGCAATGCTGGTTGATGCAGCGCGGGTTTTTTTGTGTAGTGGCAGGATTTTCTCAGCCAAACGAGATAGGGAGTGGGTTGAATAAGGAATTGTTTTCGCTCCTTTTGAGCGTTTAAATAGCGCATTCGCCACGGGCTTGACAAACGCCGTAAGGTACAACACCTCAAATGCCGGGACAATTTGTTAGAGATCTGCAAAGAAAGTCGGCTGAAAGACACTGAATGCGGTGCAATGGGCGGCATGGGCGACGGAAGCGATGATCAAGAACGCACCAACTTGTTAAAATAAGGACCTGATTTGGTTAATTGTAGACAGTAGATGAGTTTTACACGTTGCACAACCTGACACGCACGCAATGTTTGTGATGATTTGTACTGAACTGCCTGAGTTCTCAAGATATTGGGTTGCATTTGAAAACGAGCGTTGCACCAACTTGGGCCATCTATTCAAACACAATCTTCATTTATTTACATTGATCGGAACATAAATCAAACTTAACAGTATTATTTGGCTCACATAAGTAATACAACGTTTCCGCAGAAAAGTTCAAAAATTCAAACGCCCTTGTTGGCTGAGAATCGGCACAAAAAACACGTAAGAACATGCAGGCGAAAACAGTGAAATGAACGATTCCGAGGGTGGCAACCATTTGATGGTGAAACACAAAAACAAAAACCTACAAAAACAAAGCAACAATAAAGGACATAACAGCGAACAGCAGGCTTAAAACAGTGGCCAGGTCGGTAGCGGCAAGCTGATGGGCGCATGCGAACCCGTAGGAGCAGGCAAGTGCCACCGAATCGGCGCGCTTCGGGCAGCGGCGCGCCGTCTCCAGCACCAGCTTGGGGCTCTTCAGGCTCTCTAGCGCCTCTAATCTAGCGCTATCGCAGTTAGAAGGGGCGGGGTTAGGGGACGGGCAAGCGGCACACCTTTGCTCACCTTCGGCCACGTTGTCGTAGATCGAGTCGGTTCGGTTCGGGTCAAAAGAGGGGATCTTCAGGCCGTCAATGTCATCTTTCAGCTCTTGGAAGGTGGCGACCAGCTCCGCTTTGCGCTCTTGGAACGGCGACTGGCACTTTTTCGGCCCCACCTCCTCCTGCTCGGAGTCGATCGGCTCGTAGTCGTGCGACTTGCGCTCCTCCGAGCTGTCCTTGAAGCAGGACTGCACGATGTTGGCCGACTCGGCCGCAAGCGGCTGCAGCTGCAACTCCAGCGCCTCCTCGCTAGGAGCTTTGCTGTACTCGATCAGCTCGCTGCTGTTCACTAGCTTATTGTTGCGCCGCGCCTCCAACTCCTGCAGCTCTTTGGTGATGCGCTCCGTGGTGACTTTGGCCTCCTCGGCCAAGGCGTTCAGCAGGTCGTCCAGCGAGGAGTTGGTCGAGTGCGGCTCCTCCGTCGGCTTGCGCTCGGGAGTGGGGCCTTTAGGCGGCCGGCAGAGCACAGTGGGACTTGGCGGGTTCCGCAGCTCGCTGAGGAACCGCATGCGACTCTCCTGCAGCGAGTCGGCGCTAGGAGCCGGCTTCAGCTCAGTGTCGCTCATAAAGGCCTTGCGCGTGTTGTGGATGTTCTTGCCCTTCTCCTGCAGCACGCGCCTGGCGATCTCCATGGCATCCGCTATGTCCGTGAGCGTTTTGCTCTTGAGGCGGCTCTCCACGTCCTCGGCGAGGATGCTGCCGATGTTGGCCGAGAGCGATCGAACGGCGCGGCGCTTCTTCAGGTAGTTGAGGTCGAGCTTTTGCTCCTTGCGCAAGTTCCTAAACGCCAGGTCGTCCTTGACGATGTCCGGGATTTTCTTCGGGGTCTGGAGCACTTCCGCAGGCGTGGCGTGGAGGTAGTCGCTGAGAGGAGCGGCCGCTACCGGCCCCAGGGGGATGCCGAAGGGCGGCTGGGGGTCGACAGTGCGAGGACTGGCGTTGGCGCGCTGCACGTTCCGGTAGAGCAAGTCGTCGTAGGTCACGTCCGGTTGATCCCGGTTGACCGGCGGCCGCTTTGCGTCGCTCTGCTGGTTGAGGGGCGAGTTGAGCAGGTAGCTGAGCAGCGCCGACTGCGGGTCGCTGATGGTGGCCGCCTTCTCCTTGACCAGCTTGCGATGGTACATGTCATCGCCTTTGGTGTCCGGCAAGTTGGATCGTCTGGCCACCTTCTTGCGCTTGGGGCCGCCCGCCTGGTCGAACGGCTCGTAGCTGAAGCTCGAGTCGCTCAACGCGTGGACCGTCTTGCTCTTGCGCGCCTCGGCCAGCGTCTCGTTCTCACGCTGCTCCGCCCGCTCCAGCAGGTTCTCGTCGCCCAGCCGCAGGCTGTTGTAGATGGCCTCCAGCTCGTCCAAGGCCTCCTCCAGATTGGCCGATTTCCGCTTGGGCGACGCCTCGATCGGCTGGAAGGGGCTGGTCGCCCTCGGGAGGAACACCTGCGACTGCACGTGCGTCTGACTGGTGAAGATCTGCGCGTGCGGGCTGGGGCAGGCCTTGTTCACGCTCTCCTCGATCTGCTTCCAGAAGTCCAGCGCCTTCTGAGTGGGCGAGTCCTTGCGCTCGACTGTTCCCGTTTGGATCACAATCGGCCTGCGGCTGCGCGGGTGCTTGTCGGTCAGGTAGTTGAACCCCTCCACTCGACGCGGCTCGGGCGTGGTCGAAGCCGGCCTGACCACTTGCCCGATCTGGAACCGATCGCTCGGAATGTGCAGCTCCGAGGCGGACCGACAATCAGCATTCAAACTGGATCGGGGCGGGGCCAAAAGCCCCGCCCTGCACTGGGAGTCGAAGTTCACGGTTGTCGGCCGCCCGCCTTCCAAGTGGCTTCTGGTGATCCGGCTGGGATCCCTAGGAGGCGGCTGGGGCGGCTGCCGCCCTTGCGGGCTGGGCCGCAATATCGGGAAATTCACATGGAGAACCTGCTCTTCGGACCTGGCCTCCAGCCCCTTGTTGTACTCGTTCATGGACAAGGGCGGCTTGTAGGAGGGGTTGCTGGTGGAGTTGCTCACCTTGTACCTGCCATGCAGACCGTGACTGGGCGGCACAGTGCTGAGGCCTATTTTCGGGCTGCGGCTGGGGGACCGCTGGTCATCCGACTTGGACAGTCGCAGGTAGTTGTGTGGATTTTCGCCATCCCGCGAGTGTCTTTTGAGGTATCGCTCGGTTCGTGCCGCCCTCGATCTCTTGCTCAACCCGCCTTCTCTGGCTAGACTCTCGTCGCTGCGCATTCGCAGGGACGAGCTGGATCTGAGCGAGGAGTCTTCCTCCGAAGAACTTTCATTGCCCAGGGTGGTGCGGCGCGCAGCTGCTCGCGCCTTCACCAGCTCCTTCCCCCGTTTCTTTTGGAAGATACTGTCGCCTGACCCCAAGGAGCTCGCGTGCACCTGGCTTAGGTTCACATACAGAGTCTCGGGCTTTGCAGGGCCGCTCACCCGCCCTGTGTAGTTGGAAAACCCCCCGGACGGATCCGACAGAATACCCGTGTCCTCACGATGGTTGTATCCATTGTACTGCGTCTTGGGCAGCACGATGTGATCGAAACCGGTAGTTTTGGCTTTCCGCCGCTTGCCGTCGCTCTTGCGCCGCCTGCGGCCCAAAAACCCGCGGCGCTGCTCCTCCTCACTGCTGCTCTCAGTCTCCTCTTTTTTCTTGCGGCGGAACAGGCTGCCGATTGACCACTTCTTCTCTTTCTTCGCCTTCTCCGGCACGCTGTGCCCCAGTGTCGCCCTTTTGAGGAAGGTGGGCGACCCGTAGAACTCCTGGGGCGACTGGTAGGTGGCGATCTCTTCGGCGCTGTTCATCGTGTAGAGGGGCGGCACATGTTGGGGCGCCTTGATGCGGATGTTGGTTTGTGACGACCACAGACGCGGTCGGTTGCTCACAATCTGCAAAGTGACAAAGTTTAGATCACCAGTGGGTTCCAGTTGAGGCGCAAGAGTTGCTACAGCAGAGAGGGATGCTTGATTCGTTCTTCAATCACCCTTAGCTTTAGGGCTGGAAAATCGACCAAAGCGAATATATTCCCACGGCCAGCCCAGCCCAGTTTGTTCCCCGACAAAAAAACGTAATTTATGCAATCGGAGCGACTGCGTTTACATAATTATCATGGCAAAACGTATCACTTTGCATGTTCAAGATAAGGACAAATGGTTGCGTTCGCGACTGTTTTGACTTACTTCTTGGCGAGTTCTCGAGCAAAGCCAACAAACCATTTAACTAATGCATGTGAGGCACCACTACTGGCGAACCGAATAATGAGTTCGCTCAGGTTTATTGGCGAGATGTGAAGTCATCAGAAGCCAAACATGGCATTGTACACTCATTGTTACACAAACAAATCCCATCAAGGATTAGCATTGATTTATGGAAACACGGTGAAACTTCGGAAACATCGAAAACCTGCAACACACTGATTGCTAATTACTACTGTTAATCTTTGCCTTCGATTCCTGCAAACTTCGTACCAATACGCGCATTAAAAGACTTGAAACTTGAAAAACCGCTGATAAATCCAATAATGCGCCAATCACGTGTGGTCGCTTGCGAATAATCGATGTTGATAACTGGAAGGGAATAATTGGGGTTCAACGTGCATGGGTTGAAGTAAACAGCAACAACAAAAACGTGAAGACATCAGGTAACGGAGTGTTTGGAACGCTTTGATCGGCCCGTGTGGGATTATCAAGATGGATCAAACAATCTGCATAACCAAATCAAAATAGCAGTAGCAACAACGCTACACATAGAAACTGATGATGGTGGAAAACACCGAAACGTATTTTAATTGATAAATAGACAATAAATGACTGAAGCCCAGCAATTGATTTTGATTTGGAATTGAAACACAGTCAGGAAAGTATGTACAAATCTGCATAACACAAGCAGCAGATGAAAGGAAAAGAAATCGGCGGAAAAAATGGCAAATTTCCCATGGCTTGCCGATGATTGATGGCTCTTAATGACGGGATTGGGCCGCATTTAGCAAACATTATGGGAACCCGTCGTACATTCCACTTGCGATTGTTTCCCCATCTGCACATGGACTTTCAATTTTTTGCGGGTTTTCGTCCTTGATGCTACAACTTCCGACTGCCGTAGCGGCCACCTTTGACCAGCCTTGATCGCGACCAAACAACGATGATGATGATGATGAATCTCTAGCTGGCGAGTGGGCAAACATCGGGCCATTGTTCAACACACTCGCCACTCGCCGAACGAATAGTTGCGATATTTAAGCAGGAGGTGAGTGTGCTGGTTGGCCAAACTCAAGGTGATTCTCTCTCTCTAATCACATAAGTCGACACGAGGAAAAAAACGGCTTGGAACTGGGCCAGATCGGGGCCAATCCAATGAAAATCACATTCGAAATCAAATGGGTTTTTCGAGGGGCGCAAAAGGGCCAATTGCCGTGGTAACCCACATCTCTTAGGGAGAATTAGCATTCGAGCATGAGTGGAATGTTGATTGAAGGCTGTTCGATCTCGTGTGGCCTAGAAACGGGCCGTAAATTCTTAATGCACTCATTAATAGCCTAATTGTTTACAAGACCGTTATTAAAAGCGGTATGCGTTGGGCAACGATAACGGCAAATAAGACGCGTTTCACTTGGGGGGGGCCCTTTTCTTCTCACTGTGGGAGAGTCCAGATGGAATTTATGAAAGTTAGAGGGCAGGATGCGATGTTATACAATCCTGAAATGCATTGCGCAACTAATAATCGGGTCGGCGATTCAATTAACATTCGTTTAACGAGAGAGTTTTGATAGATGGCATGCGGACGGAGGACCGATGGAAGAACGAACACAATGTGGCCGTGCGGCTAATTTTGGGGAAAGAGAGCGTTAACATCGAAGCGTGAAATTCGGAGTGAGGGGCATGGAGCAAGGGCGGCACAGACGGGCGCTAAAAATAGCGCACTTTAAAAATAAATGTCAGATTTTGTTTGCCGCCAGGTCATTTCCTAATTTTAGCCGCGCGATGGCTTAATATAAGCGGAAATTTCGGTTCTTGGTCAAAGTTTCCTTTGCCGATTCAATGAAATATCACCCCAACAACAGCCAATCGCATTCCAAGCGCTAGACGCCCAACAGCATACAAAATACGGTGATTTTTAATTTCCGCAATTAGTTTCGTTACGTCTACCTGCACCCGGACACAATACGAACGACTTGAGCGAATTTTTGCGCTTATTTCACGCCTTTAATTAAGTGAAATCTGAACGGGAATCGCGAAACACACTGTTGAGAGCGATATTCACTAGCTAAAAGATGTCTAAACCAATTCACAACGCTTCAAGAGTAATGGTTTTGCATTGTTCCATCCTGCATTCGGACACGCCACTGATCAACAGTGTGTTTGGGCAAAAATTACGCAAAGAACCATCGAAAACTGGTGAAAAACCCCCAATTTTCCCGAACAAACTGACTGAAAACACTGTAAGAAAGTGAGAGCCTTTAAACGCCTCGAAATTCCTCACCCAGCAGCAGACACAAAAGATCAATCATGCTGACAACTGGACTACCGAAATGTTTCACTTTCACTGCTTCCGGTCCCAATTGGGCCCCATTTAGAACCGAAATGGCCTAAAGAAGATACCACTTTTACTATCGTTCAACCCGGCCCATGCTAATGGCCTGTCTAGACAAACCAGGTAAACTTCACGAACAACCACTAGAAAACCTTTAATACCATTGGCCACCCAACACCGGTAGACAACAGGGTATCCATGGGAACGCACGTGGCGCCTGCGAAAACAACCATTTACCAGGTTCGGTTGATAAGAATTACCATTTTGAATGACACTAGCAAAATTGTTGGCGCCGTCCGTCACATGTCTGGAATGTCATTAGCATCCGAATTTTTTTGTCAAAATCGACCATGGACGAATTGCCATTTAAATGGATTTCACAGGATCGATTTTGTCGAAAACTATGCCTTCCAGTTCAGCTCGCCAATCGACAATTGTACAACAAACCCTCAAAGAGCGAACAAGAGTTGAGTCCTCAACCCCATACTTACACTCACACATACTGTACTTAAGGGCATGGTTCGGCAACGTTTACACTGCAACAATCACCATTTGTCACTGTGTGACACATACGCACTGCGATTGGCGTTTAACGAGTGAAGATCGAGAAGGCGAAGAAGTGCGCCATCACTCTTCAACACACACCAAGTGACTAATAATGAGGAGTTTCAATGTTTTGTTCCATGGCTGCTCAGACGAAGCCCGCACCTTTCCCGTGTGTTTATGGTGGAACTTGACGGATATTATGGGTCGAATGGTGGCAGTGGGGCTCGGTTGCCACGATTCTTACCGTCTAGGCCCCCATCAACAATAAGCCATTGATCACAAGTTGGAATAGTGAATGAAATCGTCCCTAGTGAAGGTCGGAAAATAACACTTTCTAGTTGAATAGAAACGTTCAACGGCAAACGTGTTTTTACTATAATAATGCGACAAGCGGCAACAGGGCTAGCCGCCTATAAACCCCGTTGGCTCTGTTTACCCCCATTAAGGCCAACCCTGATGCGGCCGTTTCAAACGGGAATCAATTGAGACAACTTGTGGGGTTTAAAATAGGGAAACTTTCGCATAAAAACGCGTGTGATCGGGTCTAACTAGATTAGGGTGGTTTAGGGATTCACTTCACTCATCCCTATGAAGGGGATCTAATCCAATCCCCGAACTATGAAGAAAATGGGATTAATAGTCGGCAATCACCGTGTGTATTTGAAAGAGTTTGAATGCTGGAAAACTGGCCTTCATGTCCACTTAAATAAATGAGCAATTAGGCAAATTGAGATTAATCTAAATGTGGCAAGTTGGGACGCTTTCCGGGCCACTTTTCCACATCCAGCCTACGCAGTTCGGCCAAGCAATGTTTGAGGAACAGCGAAGAAATTCAAACAGAAGATCGAAAATAGACACCTAATCTTATTAGTGGAGAAACAAGCAGCTTCCTGCTGCTCCGAAAATAATCGCCAGAATTCGGCTGCACTCGAAGTGATTTCGAATCCATTCCCAATTAATATGAGAATTATTAAAGCGATTTGTATGCGCTGCATGGGGGCCTCATTGTAGGCAAACGGGCGTGATGATGCGCGCTCGAAGTCTTCAAATAGTTGCACGTTTCAATTTCCTACTTGGACTCAACAGCATGCACACAAAGAGTCGATGTGTTACGTGCATTTATGCTCAACGATCTTTCGATTCGAACTCGAAAATAGACGGCAACCTCCAAATCGTCCGACCAGATGCCGATTTTTCATGTCTAAATTCGTTCGGTAAACATCCCGACTTTGTTTTTCGCCATGTCAATTGAATGACTTCATTCATTTCCTTTCCATTAAATCCAAAAAAAAAAACAAAACCGAAAAGACAGAGTATCTGCAGCAGCTCTTGATACGGGCCAACCAGAAGATTATAGCAACTCAAGGGACATTTTCAACTGTTTCACATTCAATTCTTCAATTGAAGCAAGCTTGTTGCTAGCAATTAGAACCCGCAGCAACGATCCCCAAACCAGTGAAATTGAAACTCGTATGCTAATTTACTCACTTGTTAAGATTTCGTTGAACCCCATGGCACAGGAGATTCAAAAGGAAGCAATTAATGCCGTTTTACGCCGCGTTAATGGATTGCAAATAACGGGGGGGTTGTCGGAGGTTAATCGGTTAGTGGCGATGACCTTAGCGTGAGCCGAAGAAGAGTCCGATTTAAAGGGCAAAGAGAAAACGCTGAAAACAGAAAAATACGTACAAAAACCAGCAGAAATCTGTCTCATCTCAGGTGCAAGAAGGAAACGAAACGAAACAAAACGGCCAACACAATGAGCTGTTAGATGAAAAGTTGACAGCCACGTTGGAGGTAAACAAGACGGTTTTAGTTTGAGGTTTTTTTGGACGCTAATTGGCAAGATGGACCGTTCGGCGGCAATTTCATTCATCGCACTTGTAACGATCGGGTGCTTATTAGAGCAGGGCGACTTCAGTGCGACTCAGAGCGTTGCGAGGATATTGACACCATGAGCTGATTTCATTGAAGCATTTATAGAAAGACAAATAAACTGTCTCCTTATACTCGATTAGTCGTAGTACTAGTAGGAGAGCATGGAAGGAAACATTCGAGACAACCTAGTAGATCAGAACCCTGGAAATCGGCAGCAATAGTACATGAAACAGTCAATTCTTGCCCATAAACGACTGAATGATGACTTTTTTATGGCGCTTTTGCGTAAACCTGGCGAAATTAGTCAGCGATAATCACGAAACACACTGTTCGTTGTTAACACTTTACATGTATACAAAAAGCGGGGATATTTGGCCTCGGCTGTCCAGTCTTAGCCCACTTGAGCCAAATGGAACTCTCCACTATCGGCCCAGTTTAATCGACAAACAGCCGATTTATTGACATTTCAAAGTTTTCGCGAGCCTATAATTAGCGTCGGCTTAAATCCGCCGATCTGGGGCAGCGATTTTTTCCAACTTTATCCAAACAAACACCGTGACAAATAGTGGAGGCGTCCCAGCTATCCAATCCAATCCAGGGGCTTTACCTGAGCTTGATGATTATCCACCGTATTCCAAACACTAATGCAGGCCGTTCGCACGCAAACCTTCAAAAACCAAACACTGAACTAGTTAAGGTCGATTAAGAGTGTTTAAAATAATTTTTACCGCGGCCAGCCAGCCGGCAAAGGCGCATGTAGCTCAAGGGAACGAGCGTGAGCATACTGAGAGCTGTTCGGGATTATTTTCGCCTGTCTGGACGCAACAGGATCATCGCCAGGAATTGTTTGAGTGCCCAGCTGGGCCAACTTCAATCCTCCAGCGCCACTTGCATCAAAAACCCCTCAAAACCCCCACAGTCTTCACGGTGATTGAAGAATTCTTTTAACAGCGCATTCGCCTTAAACTGCTAGGAAATTCAGCAGTTTAAGTGTGGATTTTTCTGAATAAACAGCTTAAAATGTGCAAACTGGGGCTGCTTAAAGACAGTTTCAACCGCAAATAATCCAACCTGTGGCAACTGTTGCAGGGAATTAATCACGATATGTGCTAGAAATCAAACCAACAAAACTACTTACCATTGTGGGCGCAAACTGCTCTATGAGGTGGCTGTTAGTAACTGGGGCACTAAACACTAGTTAAAACACTCGGATGCACCAATGGGGTTAAAACATACACTTTAAGGCCGAAATGGATATCAATGTGGCTCTTAGTAGTAGCGATGCATTAGAAACTAGTCCATATCAACTTACCCTTGGAGCGAAGTCGGTTATTTACCTGTATACACTAGGATTGCACTAAAAAACACTGCAATAACAAAAGAAAAGACACTTTCAAAACCCCCGTACTTCTAACCTAATTTATATTCTTCTTCGGTTCTTCCTTCAGAATTTAATTAAGAATAGAACGGGGTCAGGTGACGTTGGCACCGTTGTCTGAGGGGCAAACAAGTCACGTTTTTGATGTTTTTGCTCTATTAATTTAATGGTCAGCACTCCTAATGTTTGATCCTCACACAAAATCTTCATCTCGTCTTCTACAGAAAAGAAATAAATGAAAATGTTCAATAAATAGCATCTAATTGTTTGGCTTCAACGCATACTGGCTCCCTCTTCCCTCATTCTGAACAGCTGATGTTGACAAGTTCCCATTGCGCGTTGCCGCATTGCTGCATTCTTCCGCAGTTCCACTGTCATTCAGTCGACATGTGCGCGATAAATGCCGAGGAATATTTGCCCTATGTGGCAATGGGGCGGCATATCTCTAATGCTTTTCAAGGAGATTGCATTTTAGTTTGGAGGGAGATTTCCGAAGGAAAACGCGTGCCTTGCTCGAAGTGCCGTTTAATTCCATTTAATTTTATTCTTAGTAACTAGAAACGTGTGAGGTGTGCAAAGATGTTAATGAAAGTGTGGCCGATTTTCCTTTTAATACAGACTGGCTGGTGTCAGAAGGAGGATAAAGATTGGGGTGAGTGGGATTTTTTGCAATTTAAATTCGCGTTTGCGTTTGCCGCCATGCGGCAACTAAGGCCCGTCACGTAAGCTCTTTCGCCCAAAATAATCAATTTTCGAGCAATTAGAACCGCTTCTAGGACGAGGATTTTGCAGGAGAAAGTGAAGGACACTGAGTGTAGCACATGATTTTTGCCTCAACTGGATATCATCAGTTATATAAGTTTTATCTCGTCCAATTTAAAATGCACTATCCATTAACAGAAAAACACCAGGACGTGCAACAGGATACTGGGATTTTTCCACTGTTTCGTTATGTAATCGTCGTTCTAATTAGCAGAAGTACCTTTAAATTACATACATGGAAATCACTTTCAGGAACTCGATATCATAATGGAGCGCGACACTAATGACGGTATTTCCGAAAAACAAAGCTCTCGAGTGGTTTTTAATAAGAAAAAAATAAGAATAATGGTGTATTTTATTTAATACCATTCAGCGTTTATAATTTGCAAGTTAAAAAAAAACAATAATTCATCAATAAATTAATTTTATTAAACAAGGCAGCCCTCTAAAGCCTACTTCATACTAATATTGAAGGCTAGAGCAGGGTTTTCCAAACTTTTTTGACAATGGAACCCGTTCCAAACCCAGAAATTCTAACGGTTGATTTCCACTGAACTTTTTTTCGGTTTTCTTTAGTCATTTATCTCACTGTTGATGCTCTTTGCTTATCTCTGGGCAGTTATTTACGTTTATCTACGCATTGCTGTTCTTTTTGCGTTCAAAACAACGTTTTATTTGTGAAGAAACTTGTATTGCACCAGCTGTAGGCGTGGCTGAAGGACAATTAAATTTGCCAAAAATCACCAAACGATTATAAAATGAAACATGCGAAAATTGAAATAAATTAATTAACTGAACATTTTTCATTGCGCCTTTGGCGTATTAAAAAAATAAATTTGGTGAATCTGAACGTCAATGCACTGACGATGTAGCAATAGAATGTAAATTTTAAACTTTGCCCCGATAGCGCCGACTTAAAGATCGACGAAATTCACATGACTTTGTATTTTTTTAAGCCGCATAATCGCCGCTTTCTGATAAGTAAAACGAATTTAACTGTACTTGTTGCCTCCCAGAGCCCTAAAGATGGCTTCGGAGCAAAGAACAGCGTTTTTTAATCCGGCAAACCGTTGACCGAATGACCCGTTCTCACATTTGCTAACTACCATTAAATTCCACGTGTAATCAATAGACATTCACCAACAATTAAGGAAAAAATGCGCTCAACCAAATTCCACCGCATGTTAAATCTGGTTAATCTGCCGGCCATGCCGCAAGTCACGTAGTGTCCGCAATTTTCGGCTTGCTCGGCATTTTTTTGCCACGACATGTAACAAAAGTACATCAACTTACTGATGAGCTCAGCTATTAGGTAACAGAACACTAACAATGCGAAATAAATGGCGCGATTGTGGGCTGAAGCACCTTTGCGTCACATTTTTTTTTCTGGAAATATCCCAAACAGCCTCAAAAAAGTCTGTTCAATAGCAAATGCCAATGGATGCATGCAAGCAAGCAATCGGTCGAAGGTGACCGGAAAAAATCGAATTAACATTGAATTTTCCATCAGAACAGAGAAATTAAGGTCAAAAATCGAGTCTGTTGTTTTTTTCGTCCAATAACTGCAATTAATTGGCGACTGCGTTCGATTTTGACTAAACCAACATGCAAAACAAGGGCGGAAGTTGTTGGTTGAGGTCAACCGTTTTGTTATATCTACCACGATTAGGCGCCGATCAACAACGTGACGGATGCTTTTCTCGGTCTGTTAATAACTGAAAAACTCGCACACTTACCCCAGCGTGAGCTGCGTTCCATATTGCCTTCGGCCCGCTCCTTTTCCCTGCATAGTCTTTCGGGAACGCAGTTCCTAAAACAATATCGGTTTTAGGACACAAAATGAATCAAAGCATTTGCAAACGAGGTCAATTCAATGTTACTAAACAGTCGAATTTTTTTGAAAATGCACTAGCGATTATCATAGGTCAACAGCGGCGTGTTTGCTGCCGTTCAATATTGGCTTTTTCCATGCTTTGCATGGACTTAATCCCAACAGCAGGCGCCTTTTAGGCCTTCAAGGATGCAGAAGGTTATCTCTATCTCATCCAGACACGTTACCTTACATAAGCCTTATCTCGGCATTGAGTGGAGTTGAAAGCACTTAAACACGTAGCTGATTACGTTCAGCGCTGATTTTTTACCAAGCAATAATAATAAAGTATGCATAGGTGCCAATTTGGGAAATTGCAGGGTTTTACCACAAATTCCTTAATCCTAAACCCCAGTCTATTTCAGAGATCGCAGTGGTCATCAACGACCAAATCGAATTACTGGAATCAAACGGCGCTCTAATTGGCTCCACTGTGGAGCAATTCACCAAACTGAAGGCCCTCACATTCGACAACGTTCGTCACCAGTTCATCGTGAGCGACATGGACCAAGAAAACGACACGATTTTCACCGTGCAACTGACCAAGGAGACTGAAATCACCCCCATCATCCCCGATCTGCCGGACGACGTCCAGGGCTTGGCAATCGACCCGATCGAGGACGTTCTCTACTGGACCAACTCGATCAACAAGTCCATCAACTACGTCTACCTCAACGATTCGGTTTTCGAGCCGCAGCTGCTGTTTGAGTTCAGCGACGTCACCCCTCAAGACATCACGATCGACGTCTGTCGAAGGTTGGTCGAAAAAAAATCGCAAACCCTCACTTTTCTTAACGTTGAACAACTTTCCAGGCACATTTACTGGACCAATTCGGACATCTACCATCCGACGATTGAGCGCGCGCTGTTGAACGGCTCAAACCGCGAGGTTCTGATCGACTCCGATCTGAGGCAACCGGCCGGCATTGCCATTGACTATCGCAGTCGCCGCCTCTATTGGGCGGACATGAGGGAGGGCATCTACTATCGCATCGACAGCTCGAACCTGGACGGCAAAGAGAGGGAAATTGTCTACGAAGGCACTCATACCAAGCCCTTTGGTATTGCTGTTGACGAAAACGCCGTCTACTGGACCGACGTTAATAACAACGCCTTATGGAGGTCAGTATCGGGACAGTTTAAAGGACAATATTTCACCAAACCAAACACTTTTCTGGGAATCAGTAAGGGAAATTTTCGGTTTTTGTTGCAGATTCTTCAAATCGGACTCCAGAGATGCGGCCCCAGAGAAAATCCGCGAATTTCCTGAGCGCCCCATGGGGGTAATCACGAAAAACCTCCAAATCAAAAGCTACCCGGACTGCAAGGAGCTGGAAGTGGCCGTAGAGAACTACCGCGGCCCCGATAAGGAAAGCTTTAATATAGTGGTGCCTGAAGCGGCGGCTCCTGCCCTCGAGTGCCTCAATGGCGGCACCCTGGTGGGCAGCTTCTGCAAGTGCCCCAGAGGCTACACGGGGCGCTTTTGCGAGATTGAAAATTGCCACAATTTCTGTCTGCACGGGTTCTGCCAAGTGTCGGCCAAGGGGTACCCTCAGTGCCACTGCCCGCGAGGCTTCGGAGGCACCAGATGCGAGCTGAACCTGTGCTCGGGCTACTGCCTCAATGGGGGCACCTGCAGCTACTACAGGGGCGACTTGGTGCCGACCTGCCAGTGCCCGGACCACTATATGGGAAGTCGATGTGAAATCCGCACCGACTTTAACAGCTTGTGCGAGCTGTACTGCAAAGAGAGCGTGAACCAAGAGGACCATCTACTGTCCAAAGACCGAGCTTTTATATGCAGGTGAGACCCGATAGCCGTTAATCCTCCCCATATGGTACTAAGGGCATTTTTCTTGGAACTTTCAGATGTGAAGCCGACAGATTCGTGATTTCCAAGAACAACCTGACGCTGCCGGCGTTATACGCGCAGTCGGCTTCCATGTACGGGCCCAGTTTTATAGACAAAGTGACCAACGACAGCGACTTCACCACCCTGGTCCTAATTCTGGCCCTATTCATCATTCTGAACGTCGGCCTGCTCGTCTACCACATCACAACCCGCCACAAGCGCCCCATTATCCGAAAGCGGGTGATTGTCAACAAGAATATCACCCCATTAACGTATCGACCACAGCCCACTACTGAACAATGCGAAATCACCATCGAAAACTGTTGCAACATGAATGTTTGCGAAACGGTAGGAATACAATTTTGCCCCCGCTTATCCTAAAAATCTCCGATTCTCGGTCAGTTTTGCCCTGTCTTCCCCTAGAAACTGACACCCACTGTCACCTTGATTAATTGGCCGCTGCGCCCCCAGGGGAACTTGGGGCAAAACTGACCAGGAAAAGCAAATAAAGTAGGAGAACATCAGCTAAAACCGGCCAAGTCCTAGCAAAATAATGAATATTCCGATTGTTTCAGCCTTGTTTCGAGCCGTCATCGTTTCGAGGAAAAATGCGGGAGGACAAGAAAGTGCTGCTATCTGAGATGGAAAACGGGGAGGAGTCCTCCTGAACCTCCCCGCCGGCGAAGGAGTAGGCTGTGATCGTGAAGTATTAGGGCTGACCATTGAGATCAAATTGAAGAATGAGTGGCAAGAGTGAATTCGGACACTAACGCGGCCTTAATGGCCAGCCTCCTTTGTTAAGTTTCTAAAATCTTTATATATAAAACAAAAACGTGTAAATTCTTATGAATGTCAGTCTGGGTATTTTGAATTGGCGCTTTTGTGATTACTGATCAGGGCCGGGAATTATCGCCACTTTTGGGCCCAATTTCCCGCTCTGATTGCCGAATCAGAGCAATGACAAGAAAGACAGTTTTATAGTTCCTTTTTCCAAACCATGTTATTTATTTCATATTCAATTTGGGTTGAATCTACGTGGAAAGTTAAGCCCTGAACGCACTTTCTCGGCTTAACTTTCCTCGTTGGCCCGCCCATTACTGACCAGTTTTATGGTTCTTTAATCGCCATTTACCTGCCTGTTAACAGTTTCACTTAGTTATTATCGCCATGTGATAGACACAGTGACTTAGGGCTTTTTGTTTCCGCAATCAAAGTACTTATTTCACCAAGAATTTTATAGTTGACAATGAATTGTCATTAAATGCCCTCAAGCTGGCTGCTTCTGGCAGGCTTCGTACACTTGCAAGGGCTGTTTGCGTCACTGATCGAATAGTTTTGCTGCCCATTTACTCTTAAACTCGAAATCCAACATTCAGCCCTAAAGTGTGCCAGCCGCTTTGGGTCGTGCTGTTCATTAGTCTCGAAGCTGGGCAGCAACTTTGTTATTTATTGCAATACTTTGAATAGTTTTTTTTTAGTTTTTTCAAGCTAGGGTAGGCTAGTTATGTAAACTTTGTGGCTCTTAATATCCACGTGAGAAATGTGATATTATCCGACAATGTTAAGGTTTATCTTTATGAAATAGTTTTATAAATTCATAGAATAAAACGATCTGAAAATTATTGCGCTGTCTCACTTCCCCTCTTGGGCTCGCAACGTTTCCACCAGCTGAAGCTCCAGGAAGACAACGAGCAAAAAAGGAGGTTAACAACCCGCCTATGTGTGTTGGTTTTCCATCTCCAGGCAACCGCCAACTTCGATCAAATGAGCGCAAAATTTCCCGCAAGTGGTTTTCCGGCAGAATCGTGAGGTTTTTCCGACCGCGCGTCACGTTCTGTGCCAGCTTTTCAACTCAAGCCGATCGAAACTTTTCCAGGTAGGACTTAGAGGTAGATTTCGGCTGATTCAGCAATTTAAGCCAGATTTTTTTAAACAAAAACGCATCTTATCTAAAGTTGCGTAAGTATTCCATGCTGGTACCGGAGTAGTTAGTTAGTCAAGGATGTAACACACAAACCCACATCGATGTCGTTACATAAGCGACAATTAAAAGGAAACAATTCCTTTGTATGTTTACGAGCCTCGACTGATCAACTAAAGCAACCGCACATTTATTCGCATCGAACGAATGAAAATGAATTGACGCATCCAAGAAAACGTAAACCTCCACAAATATTCATTTTTATTCGTTCTGGTCGTGCGATGCGAACAAATGCGCGCCTACCTTTAACCCCGTTTTCCCAAAACCCATTTACATTATTCATATTTGACGTGAAAATCCCCAGCTTGCACCCGAAAGGGAAACACGCAACAAAAACTTACATTCGGGAAAATCGAATGTCCCACTTTCTCACACAGCACCCCAAGTGAAGTGAACTAGATTTCCAAAAGACTGTTGGCGCCTCATTACCAGCGTCTTTCTCTGGGGAAAGTGAACGAATCCTCCCATCCCCATGGCACTTGGAGGGCCTCTATAAGCAAACCAGCGGCTCCTCCCTTAACAGAAATGGGGGCAAGATGACGGCCTTCCCGTGCTCCAACTCAATGTCCCTGGTTGAAAGGAAGAAACAGCAGTGGGCAAGGGAACGAGGTAGGGACAGAACGGGCAAAACTCCCCCCGATCTAGTCGTGGCTTTTTCCAGAAGAACTGGCCAACCTCGGGGTTCAATTCAAGCGCTCTCAGTACTCTGGCAGCGTTGACAAGGGCTCAGTAGACAGGTACCGCTTCCGCGCTCATCAGCAAATGCAAAAAATCACCGAGAAAACTTGCAGGTTGAGGTACGGGTCCAAGCAGTCCTTGGTCGAGGACTATGAGGCCAGGGAGAGGCGGAGCAGCCTCCCTCCACTGTACAAAAACCAGTACAACTCCAACTACGACTATCCCCCGCCTAAGGCCGATAGGGGCGGCGAAACGTCCGGATATGGCAGCGACAGTTTTCCCACCCCCGAATACAAGCCACTTCCCTCCACTGGCGAAGGCCAGTGGACCGGAAGACAGCAACAACCCTCTGGATACGAGTCGTCTTCCAGTTACAGAGACGACCGGTAAACCAGTTTTCGGACTAGTAGTTTTTGGACTAACGGTGGGTTTCAGGCCGAAATGGGGCAAGTCCTGGCCGCCCAAGGAGCAGCCCTACAAAAGCGAACCGCCCAACTGGGTGAAAAGGGGGCTGGAGGCCGAGGGCGCCATTGTAGTGGCGAACTCCTCGCCCTCCGTTTCGCCCGAGCAAAGAGGCGAGGAAAACGACCGCCCCTGCACCGGCTCCAGCTTCTCTCAGCACCGGTAAGCCGTCTAGAAACCAACCGGTTGCATTTGTTAGTTGAATTGTTTCCAGCTCGTATATTCGAGGCCAAAACGTCCACATCGACTCAGAGGAGCTGGCCGAAAGGGAGCAGCGCCGCCAACAAGCCCTGGCACATCAGGATGCCATCAGAAAACAGCTGGAAGAGCGCGAACTGAAACGGCAAGAGGAGCGAGCGAGGAGAATTCGAGAGGAGCACGAAGAGGAGCTGAGGATCGAGCGCGAGCAGGAGTGCGAACGCCAGCGAAAGCTGGAGGAGGAGCGGGTGCGCGAGGAGAAGCTGGAAAGGGACCGCAAGCGAAAGGAGGCAATAAAACAGGCGCTGGAGCTGGCGGAAAAGGAGGCAAAGCTCGAGAAAATGCGCCTAAAGATGCAGAAGCAAAGCACCATTCTTGAGGCGAACATTACTGAGAACGTGATAGAGAAAGTGAAGGTTTGCGATGACCGAAAAACGCCCCCAGGTACTTCAAGAGTCCAGGCGGAGAACCAACTCAACAACCAGCGGGACGTGGTAGCTGTGCCGCCACGCGAGAACATCAGCAAGGAAATCAACAACAACTTATCCCCTGAGCAGCGCTCAAACTCCAGAACTTTAACGCCTAGACTGCACTCGCCGCGCAACAACAGCAACAACTTCACGCCAAGACCCGAGCAGCAGTTCGCCTACGTCTTCCAACCCAGCCTCGAGGGGCTGCAGAACATCCAGTACGCAGTGCTGATCCCCACTGCCCAGTACTCAATCGCTGTGGCCCCTCCAAGCGAGCGAACTGTCCCCAACTCGGCCCGGACCGAGAACCGGATCCTCACCCCCACGCGGTACCGCAACAACGCCCCTAAATGCGACAGCAGCACCCAAACCGATAGTACCATGTTCAATTCGGCGCGCTCCTCCGACGGAGGAGACACCCACGAAAAGTACCTGAGGGAAAAAATGTCCAACTTGGAGCTGAGCTACGATAACAAACGCAGAGTGAGACGAAGCCGCAGCGAAACCATGGACGACAGACCCAAATGGGGAGTGAATCGGCCCCCAACTCGCTACATGAAGCAAAGCGAAAAGGACCCGGTTTATCAGAAGCGCAAGTTGAAACGGGAGAGCGCCAACGAGAAGAACTCGAGCGATGATAGCCGGACTGGAACGCCCATCCGGCATCGGAAGAAGGACCTGAACGCAAAACGCCGCTCCAGAGCCAGATGGCGAACAGAAGAACGCCTTTTTAGTGGCACCGACAATACATATCACAGCGAACTAGTGCGGATAGAGACCGATAAGGACCAACTTTACCTCAAGTGCTGCTGCACGTGCAGATGCCCGCGCCATAGCCGCTCGAGCAGCGGTCAAGTGGACATTTTGCGAATCGAAGAGAACAACCAATGGGACCCCCCTAGTGGACCCCACGGAACCCGCAGGGAAAGGGGGCACTCCTTACCAGAATTCCACACCCACCCGCCAAGGAGCGATCAAAACGCGGACATTTTAAGCAAACTATCCAGCTTGCATAACGGCCTGTTGCTCGAGCAGGAAAAGTGGGAAAACAGCCCGCGAACCCCCAACTAACCAGCTCCCAAAACCCGGTCTTGGACACTCTCTCTCTTTGTTCTAGACTAGACCGGCATGGCCAAGCTCGACGACTTCCTCGGCAAGAAGAAGGAGTCCGTCCCGATTCTCGACCTGTCCAAAGCGTCCTGCGGCTCCAAGGAGGAGCTGCGGCGTCTGCTCGAAAAGGTGCCCGACTTCAAAATCAAGCCGGAGAAAGTGAACGTCGACAGCATCAAAATCAAGGACAAAGGCCACACTTTCAAGTCCGGCAAGCGCGACCTGAAGCGCATGAAGGAGCCCTACCGGTTCATGGATCCGCTGCCCGTTGAAATGCAGTCGCTGAACATTGCCGATTTGGCGGCCGTTTCCATCGACTGGAAAATGCTCACCACGTTACGACCGAAGAGTAAAGTGGAAGAGAACTACTTTTCCCGGTAAATCAATTTTAAATAATTATTGTAAACCAGTTATTTGAGTCAATGTCAGTTACAACCGACCTCCCAACCGGATATGGATTTTAACACTCACCTAAGTGTCCAGAAGAAAGTTCTTGAACCCCATCCTTCAAGGGGGCACTAATTGTCTTGGCATTACACTCTCAACAGCACAGTTTGGAGGTTTTATGCATAATGTTTTGAGAAACCCGAATTTACTGTGACAACCGAGCCGACGCAATCGGCCATTTTGCCGTGAATTAAACCCGGTGTTTTTCCCGCTGGGTTTAAGTGAAACCTGTCAATAGCACGTAGCCATCTTTCTCTCCGGCATGCCCGACTGAAACAGCACTACTGATCGTTCAGGTTGTTTCAAGCGGCGTCTAAAGGAATCCCTGTACGGAAAGGCTGTTGTTAAAGGCGATCATGCACTGTGGATTCTAAAAAAATATCTGGGTGGGAGAAACTGACAGTTTGACACATGGAAAGTGTTTTGCTGCGCCCCAACCACTCTTTCAGCCTAAGTTGAGAGTGTTTTCTTGGTAATCGCGCATTAAATTTCTGCTAAGAGAAAACATATTTTGCCGCAAACGTGGTGTTGCTTAATCGCGCCTGATGCCTTTTCCAGACTAGTCGAACTGGGCAAGTTGGAGAACAAAAGTCGGGCAGCCGAAAAACGCCAGTTCCAACTGGACCCGCAAATCCGGAGAAGCAAAAATAAAGCAGGCGTGGTGGAAACGCGCATTGTATCGTGCATGGAATGCGGCGAAGACTTTTGCAATGGTAACGTCGAGGCGGCAACATTTTCCGGCGGTTAAATGGGTGTTTTTGCAGGCAAAACCTGCAGCCAGTCCGGCTACGACCAGTTTGCTCGGCAGCCGGAGGTGGCGGCCGCCGCCCAAAAAATCACGTCCCCAATCCCGGGCGACAAGACCAAGAAGAAGCTGAAGAAGAGAAAGTCGCGTTCGCGAAGCAAAACAAAGAAGAAAGGGGTGGGTAAGTCCAAGAGTCCCAACAAGCCTCGCAATCCATCAAAGTGTAAAAAATAACGTCAAACCGATTGTGAGTAACAGAACACTTAGAACAAGGACGTAGTTTGACTGTAATAAACCCTTGAATGGTTGAAGGTGTTTCTTTTGTGTTGCGGATCAGAGCTGCAGCCCTTGCTCGAAAAAAAGCCCGAATCAGAGGAGTAAAGTGAACACTAACTACTTTTCCCGTTTAAACCAGACAAGTTCTTGACAACAGTTTTTTAAACACTCACCTAAGTGTCTAGAAGACAATTTTTTTTGGATGAACCCCCCATCGAATTTCCTCACTCATGTTGTTACGACTGAATCGACTTTTCAATTCTCTATCCAACGACGCTAAAACGAATTCTCTGGCTCGAATGGTTCTTGAGAAACTTCGAAAAAAGCAGCGTCAAAGCGGTAGTTTAGACGCATGTTGATTGCAACGATTAATAAATATAAAAAATAGTGACTTGAGGCAAACTTACCTATGGAGACAAAGCGCCGCTATTCTGTTGCTGCAAACCATAAAAACGTCGGTTTCTGGAAAAGCAGAGAGGAAGTTCAGGATGGATCGGACAATGAAGTGCATAAAACCCGCATTTTCAGTTTGAATGCATGTCTTAACATTAATATATTTAAATATGTATTTTATATTACACAGAACAATCATTTACTCTATACATATACATGTTCATTATACAACATATTTCTACAGTAAGTTTCGCAGGCTTTTCAAGGTATATTGAACGATTAAATCACTTTTAATCGATTAGTGGCGGACGCTTCCAAATGATTAGAATTTCGTTAAGTTAATTGCACGCTTTTGCCTATTTGACAATGTATCACATGTTATCGTTTAGTTGTACTGAACATCTCAAAAAACCTGCCCGATATTGAACGAAACGAGATGGAAGTTAGCATTACTCAAATACCGCAATAGTTGCTATAAAAACACCCTGTTAGTTCTTGCGTTACCATTAAAAATTAAAAAAGTAGAAAAAAACCAAACCTCACTTACGTTTAAAAGGGTTTCGACCGAAACCCCGGTCTGTATCTAGCAAGCTGTTCATATAATAAACCTGTATGTCTGTGAATACCAAACCCTTAACGGTAAAAACCTAGTGTCTAAAATCGAGCCGTATCCAGCCCTAAGAGAACGTATGGGACGTTGCGATATTTCGTCATCAGTTTGGACCATGTGAAGACTGTGAAGTCTTTTTCAGCCTTGGTAAGGTTGATTGCTAACAGTACTAAGTAGCCAGCCAGTGATGCGCAGCTGCTGCGCAGCAAGCGAATATTTAACGTTAGTTTGTACTTTTGTTGACTAATTATTACGAGAACATCAAGGCCTATGTCGAATATTAGTAGATATATCAAAGTCCATTTTAATGCTGTGCGGCGCAGCCCCACATCGCCCACTGGCAGGCTGCAAGAAAATGCTTAAAAATTGATTATAAAATGCTTATTCGAAACCAAACACTAAAACTAAACTAAAATTCATATAAAACGAACTGCAGGTGTCGGGTGGAGGAGGGATACAACATTTCCCCTAAGAATTACGTTATAGACAATCGAAAACAGGCCCTGCCTTCAGTACTCTGCATTCTTTCGTTCCTAGAGGAAACATTAAAGCTATCAACTGGATTTCTACACGATAAATATATACACACCAAGAATCTTGAGGGAAAAACTGCAGAGCACTGATAATAATCAAGGATAATCGAGGAAGCGACATCGGCGCCCCGGGGCGCTTCGCCTAGTTGTCATTGACAGATAAAAATAACCTAAACTTTAACTATCACATATAAAAAGGATTATTATCAAGGGCGAAGCGCCTTGAGGCACCCCTTTAGGGCGGCCACCAAAAAATCCCCTCATCGCATTCTTCGCCTACAATTTCCATTGAGGAGTCCTTTGCAGTAACATACAAAAAACTCTCCAATGAGACAGCACACAAGCGCGCTGAGCTGTAAGTGGCTTAAAACAAAACCTAGCTGAATAGAAACGATTGAGTTGATTCATTGGCAGCCCTGATTTGATGGACGTGAAATGAAAATTTACAGACGCCCTTAAAGGGGCAGTAGTTTCATCAACCAGAAATATTAAATCAGGGCGCAAAACATCACTTAGACATCAAGAACAATATACCCTCTTTGCTAAAATTAAACATCACATTTATAGTTTTCAGCCTCGGTCGGTTCAGTTGAACGCTATTCACCTAAATAATAGGCCAATCGATCAAAGTAAACGAAACAAAAAAATAATCACATTTATAAGTAACATATTTTACAAGTTCGGTGAAATCTTGAAAATCAAGCGGCTCACTCGTTCATTGCATGCGATAAAACAGCGCAAAGTGGGGGGTGGGGCCACACCCCCGCCACTGTTCCTGCCCAATCCGGCATGAGCCAACCTTTCCAATCAACATCTACAAGTAATCCTTAATTTAAATCTTGTACCTTTTAGGTCGTGTGCAGAAGGGGGGGGAGTAAAGTATGAGCAAGCGGTGGCCGTGGTCGAAACGCATGTTTTTACAATTGCGCAAGCTTTATAAAAATTGCCACCGTTTCGGACGATCACTGCTCCCTCAGGGCGGCATCTATACCCTGAGCACATTTTTCATATGATAATAACGGTTGTTGTTCATGTTTCTGTTGTAGAAGGGCGGTGCCAAAGGGTAAGACGGGCCGTCGCAACGGTTGTACATGGGCCTATGGTGGGGATGGCTGTAGTTGTTGAAGTTCATCTGCAAATCCCATTCGATCAGCACAATGCGCTTAATAATCGTTCAAAGGGGGGCGGGTAATATTCTAGGAACCGGGAAGGGGTGTTTGTTTCACTGAAACTGAAAAATCATTCCAGTGGCATGCTCGGTATTTGCGAAGGACAACGATTTTTAATTCCAAGCTACCTTAAGTTAAGGGTTAATTACCTAAGGGCGGTCTCCTTCTTAACTCTACATGTATTTCTTAAAAATATGTCCACTTTTGTGCGTGTCTTGTGTCAGAACAGTGTCGCACACTAAAAAAGACATTAAAAGGGCGTCAAAATGCGACATTGATAGTTGTGTAAAATGACCATGCAATAGGGAGTTGGAGCAGTCACGATTTCCTACTAGTCACTTGTCTTCGCTACATCTAGTCAAACACACTCTCAACCTTAAAACTGGCAAAGATTTTCACGCTAGATTCTGCACCTTTGCCTGTACATTTTAATCTAAAATTCTATTAGACGACGACCTAAAAACGCGAAAATCCCCCCAGTTTCAAGCTGCGTTTGATAAGCGCTAACTAAATCAGTGAGCGACATCCACAAGCTAGCCCTAATTGCGAGCAAATAATTAGAAAAGCTGCAATTTGAAAATCATCCACCCTAGAAAAAACCGTGCAAACTGACAAAGCAACCCCCACCCATAAAAGCGTTCAATTGCAAAAAAAACATCCAAATCGAAACAGGTCATTTTTGAACGCACCTCTCTTTGCGATGGTCTACTCTGTCTGCCACCTCCATTGGCTGGATAGCCGCCCTGGTTGTTTCGGAACTTGCCCATTTGGGCGCCGTAGTCAAATGCGCTCCCTGGATAGGAACCGGAGATCAGACCCCTACTGGCTAACGTTCCTATTCGCTGCCCTTGTCGCCTAGCCATGACCGATCGCTCCTGGAAGGCCAGCGTAGGCGACGGAATGGGGCTCGAGTTGGGGCTTAGGGGCTGGGGCGACGATGGCGTCGATGATGAGGAGGAGGTCGTCGATGAGGCGTCCGATTGGGGAAAAGATGCTAGGGTACAGTACGAACCTTCCGATTCGCCCAGTCTGGATTGTACAACAAAACAAAAAGTAACTTATTATTCAATCGCCCCGGTATTGCAGTCTTGCGCGACCGAGCGCGGCACAAACAGACGCGTTTCCATGGCGACCGCTATGGTGCGCTCACTCTTCCCTATACACCGGCTCGGTGGGAATTGGTCCGATATGCTACCGGGTGCGTTCAATAACAGTAGAAAACAGGCGCGTTACTTTGACCAGCAGCAGCTGGGTGATCCCTTTTGCATTGTGCAATTCCATCTTGGCTGCACATTAAACGCTTCGTCAAGCCAGTGGATCATGTAACAACGCAAAACCACCTGTCTGGTGCGCGGTTAAACACACGCGAGAAATTTCAACTTATCTCCGAAAAACAACGCGGCCAACGTAAGCAAAACATTTTTGCGCAGTTAGATTAAGTTTAATAAAAACTGGCAAAACATGGCAATTAATTCCGTAACAATGCCGACCCGATTATGTGGTGTGTTCAGTGCAATAAACAGATGAGTTGGTTTATTCGATTGCTGGCCGAGCAATTTCCCAGTATTCCGCATGAGAACCGTACGGTTTTTTTGGCATCCAAGTGCCAGTTCTATTCATAAATTGTTGACCCAGAGTGAAGCGCCAACACTCGCGCTTGACTCAAGTCAATAAAAAAACCTTTGAGGCCCATTGCTGGCAATGATTCAGCCAGCCAGCCAGCGAGTGGCCGACTTCGAAACGTTGTTCGGTAACTGGTGGGCGTGCAACGAAATGCAATTTCTCTTAGAAAGCAGCAAATGCATTATATTTTATTAACGAGCAGCGAGACCGGAGCCTAAAAACAACTCACCTGTAGCACACTTCGCTAGGATCCACCCACACGGTGAGTTCGGCGGGTAATCTGAGGTCTTTGTAGCGGAGCCCGCATTTGATCGCTGCCATCTCAAGGGTGAAATCGACGGGGTTCAGGCAGTTCACTCGAATGCAACGGTAACCCTGGCCCTTGCTGGGCAAGTCTGGGAACCAGTGCTTTTCGAACCTGCAACATGCAAACATTTGCGTTACCAATAAGGGAACAGAAAAAAGGGGGAAAACACGGAATTGGGAACGTAGCCGCAGCAGCTGGCACGGCGAATACGTTTAATAACTGCGGCAATTTGACTTATTTACGTGCCAAACAATCGTGGTGTATAGAAAGCGAAATGTAATTTTCTCAGTCTAATTTGAGGCTCGTACACACATTTACCTAGGATTTTAGACCGATAGAAGACACTTTGACGAGGGTTTACAGAACAGAAGTTATATTCAATCGCCCCGGTATAGCAGTATTGCGCGACCGAGCGCGGCACAAACAGACGCGTTTCCATGGCGACCGCTATGGTGCGCTCACTCTTCCCCACACACCCGCCCGGTGGGAATTGGTCGGATATGATACCGGGTGCGTTCGATAACAGTACAAAAGCAGTAGGCATTGGCTAACATTTCGAACGCATCAAATTTTCCACAAGTCAATTCTTTTTGAAACATTTTAGCATTAAACTATGTATTCTTCTATAAAATTCATGTCGATCAAAATGTTTGCCGCTTGTCTCTAAACTGAAACTTAGACGCAAAACAAAATCAAAAGCGCGATTTAAATCAAGAAAACCCTGCACAATGTTATTCTTTATTTTTTGGGCCGTTCGCCTTAGAAGGAAGTTTTCAAGCAAATCAGCCCCTGTATAATTTTCGGCTGCCACGTTGATGTAAAGCAAACTGGCACTTTGCAGAGCAGTTTTCGAAGAAAACCCGTATAAATAAACTCTTGTTTTTCGCATAAAGACCGCCTGATTACGCGTTCTCTGTTGAAATCGATAACAGCTCGTGGACGTCAATGCAATTGCGTTTCTCTTAAACAAGAATCGGTTCTGAAGCCTGAAAAATGCACTGCTCCATTCGGGAAAACGTGCCTCAACAAATTGGCCTAATAAAATGAGCAATTAGCGAATTCTGCGTAGAAACAATAGAGAACAGCGCAAAGCGTTGAAAGGTTGTTTTGAATCGAAAACAATAGAAGTATGCATACGTGATAAGAGGCATTTATCAAGTCTATTGTCAGCAACAGTGACTTATTCTGGCATTTTTCTGCTGATAATCCCTGTGGAACATCGCTGTGGCCAAGGAACGTTTCGATTAGATATATTAAAAATCACTTAAATAAACGTAAAGGTCACGAAGTGTGATTGTTTCGTAAAACGTTTGCAAAACAGTTTCGGTTACCTTTGTAGTTGTTAGTTATTGAGGACGAAACGCTCGCTTGATAGATTATGTACATATATTTGCCAGGCTAACTGGTTTCTTGCGGGCGACGACAATGGAACGTTATTTGGCAGCGAATAGGCCACTTGTAGGGAAATGAGCCCCCCTAACCAGTTCGTCTTCTTGCCGTTGCTTGACCAAGTTGTTTACTCAACTTCTTGTCAGCTGAAGGTCATGATGATGGTGATGCTGATGACTATGGGGGATTTTGCGAAACTCATGACAACAGAAAAACGGCGAATTTTACGCAAGAATCGACGCAAAACGCAGCCAACCGTGGACAATCCGTTTGGAACTTGCCGATGATTTTTTCATTTCGGTTCTTTCGCTGACCGACCGAACGATTATTCCTGTACATTTGTAGTTACTTAGAATGTGTGGGTCTTCAACTCAAGTGCTATTATGTACATCAAATTCAATGCCAATACGGAAAGATTTAAAAAACACAAAAATGTTACAAGAAAAAAATTTCCCGATTCATTTGCAAAAAACAATTTGGGTCAAATTTGTTTTGCCCCAATAGTTCGAATCCGCACAAAATGTGGCAACACTGCTCTCCATCATCACACAATATTTCAGGAATTTTCAAGTTTGGGCGGTTTTCCTTCAAAAGCGCACGAAAATTTTGTGAAAAACTTGCTCTAAAAATAATTTCTTCCGAACTAAAAGAGCGGACGACTTGCAAGTTACTGCACCAAATAGAGAAGGAAATATTCCATTTATGACGCAAGTTTTGTTAATTGATCATCATCAGGGAATTTTCCAGGAATTTTTCAGTTTTGACACTTTTCCTCCAATGGCGTACAAAAAGTTGTATCACTTGCTATAAAAAAGTCATTTTTTCCGAACCAAAAGAGCGAGTCAATTGAGATTTACTGCACCAAATAGATAAGGAAATATTCCATCTGTGAAGCAAGTTTTGTTAATTGATCATCATCAGGGAATTTTCCAGGAACCTTTCAGTTTTGACACTTTTCCTCCAATGGCGTACAAAAATTTGTATCACTTRCTATAAAAAAGTCATTTTTTCCGAACCAAAAGAGCGAGTCAATTGARATTTACTGCACCAAATAGAGAAGGAAATATTCCATYTGTGAAGCAAGTTTTGTTARTKGAKCATCATCAGGRAATTWTCCAGGAATTTTTCAGTTTTGACACTTTTCACCAATGGCCTCAAAAATTCATACATCTCGTGCTTACAAAATTTATTTCTCTCCAACCAAAAGAGCGAGTGAATTAAGATTTAAGACCCCAAATAGACAAGGAAATACAAATAGAGAAACAAATACTACTCAGTTTTCAGTTTAGACACTTTTCTCATCAATGGCCTCGAAAATGCTGGAGACCTAATTAGCGACAAACTTTACTTATAATTTTTTGCCACTAATTTCTACTCAGTTTGAGTTGGAACTGGAAACCGTTGAAAACCCAAGAAGTTTCACCTGTAAGGTGTTGGTAAAACCACCGCTTCCTTCCTCTCAATCTTTGAAAAGAACGACATTAAAGGGACAAAAGTCCATTCATAACGAACCACTCTGTAGATGTGCGGCCGTTTATTTACCTAATAATCAGCCGAAAATAAATCGGTTTGGCTACCGTTTGCTTCAACATGCCTCCGATTGGACACGTTTACGTTGTAGGTTCTAGGAAGCGTTGGACTACTGGACAAGGACAGGCAACTGTCGACTTCCTACTTTGGGGCAGCTTCGAGGCCTCGTCTAAAGAACAGTTTTCTGCGGACTGAAAACCTCACAATCTATTCCTCCTGCCGAATTGAAGGCTCGAAAAGCCTTGGCTGGGCTCGCAAATGATTCAATAAGCACACAACAAATCCACGTGCCCACGTAAAAATCTAACGACGCTCCCATCGCACAAAATACACAGACCAGTTCGACAAGAAACCGAAAAAACCGAGCAAAATGCCAAATGCTGCGTTCTTGATTGATCAATGATCATTTGGCCCGTTCGTTGTCCATCATCGTTTATGGCTTCGATGATGTTGCAGGGACGTGAGTGGCATTTGATTCTCACACAGACTGGATGGTAATTGCGATTCAGGTCTCAACTCTCTAGCGAGCGCTGCCAACGCAATTCGAAACGAAACGAATCATTGTGATCAAAAGTTCACAAACAAATGACAGGGCTGGTCATTGACTCACCTTCGCCTCGCATAGATGGAGGCGTTCTTGACTTGATAATCAAGAACACCAGCAACTAATCAACTGAACAAACCAATGGCGCAGTCGGATTGAGGGACCAAAGCCCATAAAACCACAAATCGGCTCAATAACAAGCCGACAATAGTAAACAACGTTATCTAAAGCCTGGCGTGGTTCAAGCATAATGAAAAAAAGAAACAACAAACAACGATAACTGAAAAATATGCGCATTGAATGGCCAACTTTGTATGCATTTCCATAGTCAAACCAAGGGGGTGACAAACGCACCCTACTTTAAAATGTAACGGCCTACTTGGGCGATTTCTACATCGAATCCATCATGAACAAACGAGGAAAAAGTGTGCCAACGGCTGGGCCAAAAGTGTATCACAAGATCGGCGCATACGTTAATTATGCATTGTTCATTTTTCTCTAGCAGCTCGAAACGGTTAACAATATCGGGCGCATTGTTTCGGTAACTTTCTTCGATTCGAATCAGTGTCACACAGATTTAAGCGAATAATTCAACTAGGTATACACGGTGGACACAGAAAAATTCGAACGACAAAACCTTCAAAAACTCCTGCTAAATTCCTCATATTCAAACGCCCTCATCTAAGCCGCTTGTTTTTTGCAGAGTAAACCTCCTAATATTTTCGCAATTGAAGCCATTTAGGGCCAATTTGGACTCTTGGCAACGTGGCTAAAAACCCATTGTTTTGATTTTCAATCAAAACGACTCTTGCGATTATTCCGACGGATTTTGTCGAGTTTTGCGTCAGTTACAGGTTAGAAAATTGAAATTAGACAAAAAGGTTATGATGATTGCTTAGATTTGTTAACTGTTTTCCCGTTAGATTCTTGTACACGAGAAAATAACGTTTTTTTTCCAACTTTTTAAAGGCTAGGAATTCCTGGGAAAACCAATAGAGAATTGACCGCTCTACTAAAAAAAGTTCAGACATTAGTCGGCTGTTTTTAACGGTTTTAGGATAGAGGCTCGTAAACTTGGGCGGCTCCTTGAAGTTGTACAATTTTACTTCTATCTCTTTTGAGGTTAGGAATTATTGAACAAAATTTAAGGGTTAAAGACAGCTCTTGAGACGCTCTATCGAAAAGGTCTTAATTATTTAGTTAATTTGGTAAATATTTGGTTAATTATTTGATATTTTCAACAGTTTCCGCGAGTTATGCTCGCAAACTTCGGCGGCTCCCTAAAATTTCACAATTTTACTTCTATCTGTTTCCAGGTTAGGAATTTATGGACAAAACTTCACGGGTTAAGACAGCTCTTGAGGCGCTCTAAATTATTTTGCGATATTTTCGATCATTCCTGAGAATTAAGCTCGCAAACATCGATTTCACTCTTATTTTTTATGAGGTTAGAAATTTCCGGAACAAAAGTTAAAGGCTAAAAGCAGCTCATCGAAAAGCCCTGAATTATTTTGCGATATTTTCGATCGTTCCCGAGAAATTAGTTCGCAAACTTCGGCGGCTCTATAAGATTAAGAGATAGAAGAATAGAAAAGATAAGAGAGGAAAGACAGCTCTTGAAACGCTCCATCGAAAAGATCTTGATGATTCTGCGATATTTTCAATAGTTTCCGAGAATTAAGCCCGCAAAGTTCGGGCGCCTCCATCAAATTGCCCTCCGATCTTTCTTGAGGTTAGAAATTTCCGAACAAAAGTCCCTCTATCGAAAAGATCGAAATCATTTTGCGATATTTTCAACAGTTTCGGAAATATGCCCGGTTTCAACTGTGACGCGTCGTTAATTTTGGCTTCTATCTTTTTAGAGATTAGAAATTATTGCTAAAACGCATCCGGTGAAAGGCAGTTTCGGACACAAACTATCGAAACGGCTCTTAGGACTGATTGGATAATTCCAATCGTTATGGCGGTTTTAACGTTCTTGGAACCGTTACATGCGGATATTTTCGCTTCTATCTATTTAAAGGTTAGGAATTTACGATTAAATGCACTGATAAAGGACAGTGCTTACTCAAACACTTGAAAGAGACAAAGACGTACAATTATTAAGGATTTTAGAGGCAAAAGAGAAACGCAACTTTGTAAAAATTGACAAACAATTCCCATGTCTGTATCCACCTTGATAAATTGCACATTGAAACGGAAATAGACGGCATTGGCGGCAGGGTTAACAACGAGTCTCGGCTGTAAGTTTGAACAGCTTTTCTCCTGCAGATGAACACTTTGAAAGACCCACATGTTTCATAGAACAGCGGCGTGTTTGTGTGAAATAAGCAAAAAAGTGACGACAATCTTGATAGCGCGACCAACAATTAGCAACATTTGATTACAGACGACGCAAATATGAAATATCAGTGAGCAATTGGCGATTATAATTGGCCATTCAGGTTTTTCCTCTATATCGGTTTTGAAGTGCGAATTGCGCGGAAACTGCCACATTCGGGATTGGCTGCCAGCGGTTTGAAGACAGCCTTTATCGGTTATTTCCGCTGCATCTTCGAAATAAGGTCGCACTTGCTGATTCCATCACGGCAAACTCTAATCGCTTTGTTGTTTTACATGATTATTAAACAAATGGGATTTCGCCACAAGGCTAGCGGATAGACTGGTTGCGACCTTTCATGCTTTGAACGCGCCAATTAACGCTCAAAACTGAATGGGGTGCATTTACATATCTACAGCTGCTGTAGCGCCCTGTATACACTATACAGGCCAATATACAAGTCGTTATATAAGCTTCACGCTACGCTAAGTGAGGTGTTTTTGAAACCGACCGCGTTTGGCAACACACATTCACCTCCGTCGAACCAGTTGTTACGAAAAAACACACAAAACAGGGCAGCAGCGCGAGCCACGTGAACATAATACAGAAACGAATAAAATCCACACCGACTCACCTTTCGAGGAGAAGGTCCGTAAGAGTGGTCTCAAAGTTGCTCAGCTGCTCACGCGCCACCTTTTCACTTTTTTGAAGAAAGCAAGCGAAAAACTTGACAGCCGCGTATACTTCTTCCTTCATAATTTTCTTCTCTCGATTTTGAATCTGGTCGATCGTGTGGTTCGGTCGTCTTGATCGTATTCACATCGGTGGTTTGAAGAGTGGCTGGTCGCTCGGCCGTCGCCCGTTATGCAGCAGTCGTCGGCAAAGAAACAGAAGTTCGGATATCCTGGAAGAAACAGAAACTTACGCTTCAGGTGGTGGCTATTCACCGGTCTTCGCTCACTAAACTACTTTTCCGACCAAGAGCTCGATTGAAGCCTGATGACGCGAACAAAATCGAACGTTGCCGGAAATATATATAAAAAAATTCCTCTATTTGCTTTAAGCTTGTCAGTTCCTGCACCCACTTGTTCAAAATAACACAATTTGTTGAGATGGCCTTATCGGGACACCCGTTATATCACACTTCTTGAGCGTCTTGTCATTTCACGGGAAAATAGTGACTTTCAATGAGTAAAAACTGATGGAAAACTGCATTTCCACCAATAGAACATAAATATGATACAACACCTATAGAAGTTTGCGAATGTAGAACACATTGCGGTTGGTTTGGAGAAGTTTGGTGGATCCACCTCCTGCAAACAGTCAGCATTTGCCCCCCAAACCGAAGCGAAATTGCAAATTGAGGTCTGAAAGCCCATGTTGGCTAGTGGCCGTCTACGACAGCCAGATGGGATGCAAAATGAAGAATTCTTCCGAAATACTCACTTTTTCTGTTAATAAAAAGCACATACCGACTTCAAATGACACTGACATTTTCAAATTTTTGACTGATGTAGAATCGACTCATCAAATGGGGCTGGTTGCCACGTTGACTCCAAACTCTTCAAACACGTAGGTACCTAGGTAGTTCGTTGAACAATATTCAGCAGTTTAAAAGCTTTTAAACCTAAGAAACCAGGCAAACAGAAAAAGCTACCCGAACTAATCAAGGCTAATTTAAGCAATAGATTTGCTCCACAATTCACAGATTGGTCATTGAAATTTGGGATTTATAGACTCTAACCTTCAGTTGAACGACTAGACCTTTACAACCTTAGAGGAGCATTCAAAAGCTTTAAATAATTGAGGAAAACACGTCACAACCTTTTCGGCTTAAAAGCGTGAGACATACAAAGACAGCATGCTAGGATAAAGGTGCAGTTCAAATTGCCAGACCGAAAAAGGGCCTTTTCTTTCAGAAACCGTCTATTCGACCCATGATTCGTTGCAAAGCCAATCAGAAATGCCTTGGCATGTTCCACCACCGATTTCCTGTTGGGTTTCGGGCAGGTAAAGCCGTCTTTCAACTCAAATGGGGTGGCCCCGAAAGCAGTCATCTGGCAGCTGAGAAAAATACAGGTCAAGTCAGATTTTCCTCTGACTCGCGTATTTGTAAACAAAGAACCGTTTGGAACATGGCTCATGGCTCGCAGCACGTCCCCCACCGCGATATTTCGACTTCCTGTCCACCACATTGGGGGCTGTATTTCCAATAGCCCCAACACCCAATCGTCCCTGCAGCCAACAGGGGCACCCCAGGCCGCCAGATGGGGGCTTAATTGGGCGAAAAGGCGCAACACATGTAACACGTAGAACAAAGCAATGTCGCAACCACACTGGAAAGTGTCCCATATTTTGTACGATTTCTCCGCGATTCGCTGGCTTTCTCATTGTTTGCCAACTGGAAATCTTACCTGCGAATGTTCGGAATCCGTGGGGAATCGCTAGCGTAAAGGAAAATCGGAAAAACCAAAGGAAAGTCAAAATAAACCACACACAACACTCAAGAAACCAACTTTACACTCTCACTGACTAGGCACAATCACAAACTGAAAATCATCTGGCAGCTGGCACGAACATGTCATGGCGGCCCATTTTTAGGAGTGGGGACGCGCTTGCGCACTTCCACGTTCCAGTTTAATATCTTTAATTACCTTTCAGGGCCCTAAATGATTGCCGATTAAAATTTGGGGGCCCTCAGGGCCCCCACCGGACATATTTCAACAATAACCAGCTGCATAAACCAATATCCGTCTTTGGAATCTGTCAAAGTGCACGGTCGCTACGTCAAAACAAAGCTAGGTTAGTTTACGAGACATGAGCCTCAAATTGCTCAGCTGCAAGAGCCTCGGAGGCTTAGTGGGGCGCAGCTTCAGCAGCCAACGGAAGATCGTCAGCACATCGGACGGGTCCACCCTGGTGGCGTGGCACCCCAAGCAGGACTTCCCCTATGAGTGCACGCGGCCGCTACCACAGCAAACCACAGAAGAAGATGCCTCCGTTTTGAAGACGAAGCTCACGCCTGAGCTGCTTTCGATCTTCAACAAGAAAACGCCCGAACAGGCCAGGGCTGAGCTGATGAGCATCACGCACACCACTAAGCATCGCTGGTTTCCCTTGGCAAGGCGCAAGAGGTGGCGCAAGACCTCCCCGGATAGGGAGTATTTGTGAGATTCACTGCCTTCAGCTTGTTGTATTATGTAGAACTCAATAAATCTGGGGTTAATAAAAAATCCAGTTTTGGTCTCTTACTTTACTATGGGTTATCTAATTTGTGAGTGAGATCAGGGCATTGACGACATTGCCGTGGTTCTCACGCAGCGTTCGTTCCGCCGTGGATCTGGGGATTTCCATTTCTCGGACGATCAAGTCCACATCCTCCTTTCGGATGGACACCTTCAACAGCTCCTTCTCCCGGGCTTGTTCCTCCAAGGCGGCCTGGTTCCACCGGTCCCCAATGGCTGAAATGGCAACGGCGAAGTTCTGCGTCGAGATTTCCTTCTCCTCTGCATAGTCGGTCACCTTCTCCAAATCAGCGGCCCCACTGTCGTACTTGGCCTGCTTCTTCTGCTGCGATTTCTCGCTGTTGTCGTTCTCATCGGATGTGCCATTCTGTACTTCCTCGTCTGCCATTGTATTATTTTGCTCAGGGAGAACCTGCTAAGCGCCCCTTTATTTTGAAAGCAATGCTTCGAATTTAACTGAATTTGGGGTTAGAATGGCCAAACGTCAATCTCATTCAAAAGTAACTAGTGGCGAATGGACGTGAAGCAACGGCGCTGTATGAAAAATCACTAACATTCCCAGCCCAATTCATTGAAGATGAACCAATGACAAATGATCACGCACAACCACATTTTGGACTTCTTTAATTAATTTTCAATTACCCACAAAATGTATATTAATAGGCCACCTTTAACCTTTAGCCCAGTTAAATAACTTGGCTGCCCTCAGCGGCCATATTACATCACCCAACAACCGCTAAAGATCCTTCACTTGCTCCTGACCTAATCAACGGGGTAATAATGGCGTTGTTGTTCTGTTCATGTTAATTTATCCATGTTTTCCCAATAAAAACCCCTGTAGCCAAAGCCCCCGGCTTTTAACTACGAATTCGAGTGGCCGCCCAGTTGAGCCCCTGGCCCCAAAATGTCCGAGGTTTTGGATGAATGGGAAGAGTTATCCAATGACTTCAAAGAATTGGAGGTTAGAACCGCTATGGAAGTGATCTTTAAAGCATAATTTTTATTGTTTTCCCGCAGGTAGTGAATAGGGCCTATTTGAGACAGCTGGAGGAGCTGTCCAGCCATCAGAAGAAGTGCCAGGAACACATCAAGCACCAACGCTATCGAATAGGGGTTTTGTCCAAGAATCTCCACAAGTAAGGCTTGAGGGGCCGCCGCGCCGAAGTTTGGTGTGAACTTGGATTGTTGCAGGTTGGAAAAAGCCAAAGACAATGAGCAACAGATTCGGGAGTTGCAGACGAACATTTTGAAGAGAAAGGCGCAGCTCTACGAAGTAGAGCAAACTCTGCCCAAAGAAAATGGACTGTACTTGAAAATAATCCTTGGAAATGTCAATGTTTCCATTCTGAACAAAGAGGACAAGTGGGTGCCGGTTTGACCTATCTCAGATGATTATTCCAGTTGCCCACTTGTTGCAGGTTCAAATACAAGGATGAATACGAAAAGTTCAAGCTGATTCTGAGCGGAATTGGCTTTATAATGGCCATTCTGAACTACTGCATCCGATTCAGAGCGCTGGAGTTGAGCTACATATTTCTGCTGGTTTGGTACTACTGCACATTGACCATTAGGGAAAGCATTCTCAAGCTAAATGGGTCCAGAATCAAGGGCTGGTGGCGGTTCCACCACTTTTTCTCCACGGCAGCGGCCGGCATTCTCCTCATCTGGCCCGATAATGAAACCTGGCTGGCCTTTAGGAACCAATTTGTGCTCTTTACTATTTATCTAAGTACGTCCAGGCCTGCGGACTATCTAAGTTTCGTGACTGATTAAGGGGTTTGCAGGTTTCGTTCAATACTTGCAGTTTAGGTACCAAAGAGGGGCCCTCTACAGACTGAAGGCGCTCGGTGAGCGCCACAACATGGACATCACGATCGAGGGCTTCCATTCATGGATGTGGAGAGGGTTGAGCTTCTTGTACCCCTTTCTGTTTACCGGGTATCTCTTCACGCTGTACAATGCGTACACGCTGTATGAGCTGAGTTTCTACCCCAGTGCCACGTGGCATGTGAGTTGAATGAAAGCCGCCCCATTGTTTGAATGCCTGAAACTTACGCTTGTTTGCAGGTTTCCGTTTTGTGCGCGATGTTCTTCGTGTTGTTCCTGGGAAATACTCTAACAACCATCATGGTGATACCGATAAAACTGCACGAGAAAGTTAAACTGCAGTATCGGGTGATGAGCCAACGGTTGAGCACGCAGCTGTTGAACAACAGGGAAACGGAGGTAGGTTGAGCGTCACGAATGGTTAAGGGATGGCTAATAGGGAGGTTTCTCTGGGGCAAATAGGGCCAGGCAGCCGCCAGCGGCAGCAATAGCAAGGAGGAATGATTGATGATGGACCTTGGACAAAGTGTTAATTTATTTACCGGAATCTCACGTGCTTTTGATTAATTTTAAGTCCAGTTAATTGAATAGTGTCATATTTATTTCATGCATGTCAGTAATTATTAATAAAATTAACGCAACTAAAATCTAAATGCATCAAATAATATACACGTCGTTTGAAACCTGGGAGGGGTATGTATATATATGTATAGTATATATAAAAGTCCATATAAAATGCTTAAAGGCTACGTCTTGATAGAAAAATCCGCCCATTTCGACACTATCAGCATATAAAACACTTACGCCTACAGGGGATAAGGTACAGTCGGAGCTATCAAAATATTTCACTAGGGATTTAAAAGCAAATTTGGCCAGAAAACCACTGAGTCAAAGTCAAAGTTTTGCTTTTAAGCCCCAATGTATACACATGGGACATTTACGTACGACTAATTTGTTCAAGTGTAATGTACATCTACGGTACGAATCCAGACTAAAGTCGGCTAAAAGCGCACTAGACAGGCAATGGACTTTGCTGAAGATCGCGCTCTAAGAAGCAACCGAACCGAACCGATATACCGGGGTTTTCCAAGTCGGCGGCTCCTTGCTGAAGACTATACTGCAAGTGGTTTTCGGATATTACGAAAGTGGATTCAAAACTACACATATACTTGCATGTAGATGTAGAATATCCAGCAGGGCCGGTTGCGACTTTGAAAAACCCTGTGTGAATAATTTACAAACGAAATACTGTTGATTTAACGCTACTTATGTATATATTTATATGTATGTATTAACTAAACCATAATGTTGGATATAATTTAAAGTTGTGGTCGACTAGAAACAATGCCAATTTGCTACTAACTACTACTAGATGGGAGAATTGACGACATTAAAGGAAGCCTGGATGAGACATTGGCTGGGAGCCGAAGCGGAATGAGTTCGAAACCTAACGAGCCCCTTGGGACATCAGAGTGCAATGACCCAACTACCTGCGAATGTTTTTCTGAGAACCATTCAAGTCCTGCAAGTAGCAGTATAAAATGCCCGCCTGAGCCATCACGTCCACTGTTCCGGTAGCCAAACTTTCCCCATGCTTTTGACTGTCCTTTTTGGCATTGTCCGGCTTAGTGGCCGCCGGACGTAAAAGCGTCGGTCCGAAAACCGTGGCTAAGTTGTGAAGCGACATTTTATTGTCGTCCTCGTAAGCATGCACTCTGAAAACGATAACAATCCTCACTGTGGTTCACTGTTCCACGCCAACTTCCACTTACCTCATCAGATGGTCGAGAATGTACTTGATGCTCTCCTTGTTGGGGGTCGGCAGCTTCTCGAAACACTCCTTCAGCAGCTCGGTGCGCTTGATCAGGTTGTTGGGGGTGCGGTTGAAGGCCTCCAGCAGTTGCGGATAGAGCTGGTCGGTGAAAAGAGCTTCGGGCAGCTCGCGCAAGTACAGCCGCAATATCCCCGTAACTGAGTGAATGTCCACGTCCTTTAGCAGCTGCTCCGCTTCGTAGGAGTCTGAAGCAACACCCATATGGTTCAAGGAGGGGATCTTGGTTTTGTTCAAACACTCACTAGTTTCAAATGATTTTTTCAGCTTGGCGATGTCGCTCTGCGAGCCGGACACTCGATAAACTCCCACTTCGGACATGCCCCGACGCTCCACCTCCCATACACACGCCGTTATGATGAATGGAATGTTTCGTTTTTGTCTTCTGAAATTTAAACTGGTGTTCACTTTGGGGGCTAAACATTTCAGGGGAGGAGCAGCTATATATTGATACTTGAACACAATCGCACTTTCATCTTCCCGAGATTTTGCGAATTCGCTAGAACGTCCAGAAACGTCACGCGTCATCCAACCGGAAACCAGCTATAATGACTTATGGCAGGCAGCTTTGCCGCTGCTGTCGGTTTCTCTGCGCTCGCCGCAACAATATTATATTCCCTGTGAGTTTCGAAATAAGGCCATCATCAGCCGTGGTGATTATACATTTTTTTAGCTGTCCGAGCAGCTGGCAGTTTGCTACATCAGCAACTTCGGAATAATGTTAACGCACCATCTCTCTCAAACTGGAGTCACCCACAGAAATTCGCTACTTTGATGGACAAATTCGCTACTTTGATGGCAACACGTGATACATTCTTGACTGATGGCGGCTTTTGATGTGTGTGAAAAATAGTGAATTTGAGTGAGTGAACAGTGCTTAGTGATCGAACAAATCAAATAGCCCGAAAATGATGACTTACTTGCAAACAACTTGGATTTTCTCTCCAAACAACGAGCCAACTTTGCCCGCTGGTACTCGCCTCAGACTGACCTCGCAGGGGAAATAGCGCATTCCCATCCGCAGCGTACAGCCATTGATCTACATGGGCCCCATTAGGGTTTAGACAATCAACTTTCAGTCACTCACTTTGAATTGGCTGTCCACCACTTGCCGCTCACTCATTAGGTTCCTACTCAGCTTCATAGTGTGCTTGCCAAACAGTGTGTCCTCTGGCTGTCCCTCCCGGTAGACCAGAATCCGCAAATTCTCGCAGCCTTCCAGATCGATCACGTAGCTCTCGTTCCAGAGCGGGGTTTGCGTGTGCTTGGCCGGCTTGGTTTTGACTTTTTGGAAAAAGTGCCCGTAGAAATCCACCTCGATGCAGACGTATAGATCTGGAAAGAGGGACCGTTCTGAACTGATGCCCACCGCTGCATCCTCCTCATTGACTTACCACAGGGAGAGGTAAGGCCAGTCATGTCGTAGATGTGCAAATGCAAGTCGCCCACCAGCAGGCTTTCGTCTTTGCCGCTTCTCAGCAGGTAGGATCCCATGTTGGTTTTGAGGAACTGTCGGCAGGCGGTTATCCAGGTTTGCAGCTCGAACATGCTGAAGTTAGTGGCGTTGTTCGGCTGCTTACCAGTGCGCTCAGTCTTCTACAAAATCACCCATTAATTCAGGTATTCAGGCAAGGGCGTGCCCTTGCTTACCTGCAAGGTTTGAATGGCCTCAATCCACTGCGTCCGCTCGAAATCGCTGGACAGGAAGAATATGTAGGTTCGGCCGGAGCCTTTGTGCTTGATGCGATACACCAAGTTGGGCGAAGCCAGCACTAGCTGACTTTCCAGCTCGATCAGTCTTTTACGGAACTTCTCCGACCCTCGACTGGACTTCAGATGCTGCAATTTACCACGCTGTTAGTTGGGCTTCTATTTAGTTGCACACCGCCTACCTTTTCCTCATTCAACTTCTCCTCCTGCCGCAATTGGTCCCTGATGTTGCTCGCTTGCGACTTGAGGGAAACAATGTTCGACTGCGACGTTTCGTGCAGGTTGGCGGTGGTTTCACGCAAAATCACCACATCTTCCACTGGAATAAACCACTTCAGCTCGAACGTGTACTTCTCATTTCGGCCTGAAGACTACACGCGGCTAATTAGTGGGATGTCGGATGCCGCTACCATACCTTACTTTGTATTTGGCACAGGCGATGACATCGTTAAAGAGGAACAAGTGGCGCAGCTTGCGATGTCCATCCACATACTCGACGATAAACGAGTTCTTGACTAGTCGACGTTGCGCCCTGTCCCTATCCTGGAAACCTACTGTTAAGTATCCAGTGCCCCAATCGAAATCGGAAAACTCCACTCACCGGAAACATAGACTTAGTCTGGATGATATTGAACTCATCCAGAAAATTCTGGGTGACTGTAAGCGCCTCAGATATGCTGTGATAGTCGGCGTTGTTCGGATTGGCGTAGCGCACCAAATCGTGCAACACCAGCGCGTGCTTCTGCACCCTACAAGCCCCATATTCAGCCCCGTTTCCAGCCCCCACACTCCCCAACTTACCTGGCAACCGGCTTGTGCAGCAAGTCTTCCAGGCTGATGGCCTGATCGGACAAGTTCTTGCATGTTATGCTCTTGGTTATGTGGGCAAACTGGAAGTTGTTGGCGCTGCAGAGCCGCACTGTGTCCAGCGCTCTGCCGTAGTTGCCCAGAAAGGCGCCGTAGAGCGGCAGATTGGCCGCCTGTCGAATAAAAACCTTGTCGATAAATTGGGCTGGAATCAACCATCAACGGTTACCATAATTTTGAAACTGTCGCCGATCTTGTTGTCCCACTTTTGCGAGTGTTTTTTGAGCTGATCCAAGAACTCGGTGTGTAGGCGATGCAGTTCCGGAATTAGATGGAAGATTGTGTTGAATTCCACTTCGCTCACTATGGGTTGCGAGGTGCCGATGGTCGCTTGGATCGCCTTCATGTACTGAAAACTTGGGCTGGAAACAGCGGCCGAATTCCAAAAAATTCGTTCATTTACCTGAATGAGGACATTGAGCCATTCCACGTAATTGGTTTCGCTATCGATGATGTTGCAGATAATCGACCGGTACATCCGCTCTGGCCCAATTTTTCCTTCCTAGATCCGTCCCAAACTGAGCAATTAGAAAACCGCGAAAGCGTTAAACTCACGTTGCTAAACTTCCTCTTTGTGCTGGGCGTGGTGGACTCCAAGGAGCTGGAACTGGCATATGAACTGTTGTCGTTCTGCTGCCTGTTGAGGTCTGGTAGTTCTTCATGCTCGTCCTCACTACTGCTGTGCTCATTGCCAAGCTTCTTCGATCTGCAATGGAAGCATTTCCAGTCAGAAGGGTTTCCAGACCTCCCAGAGGAAATATCTTACTGTATAAAATATTCAATGTTCACATAGTTGGAAGTGCCAGGGCTTTGCGGTTCGATGGAATGTTGGGTTTTTAACTCCAAGGGCAGGGTACTAGAGGACCCAAACACGTTCTCCGTACTGGAGTGATCACTTTTTGGCAAAAACTCTTCCTCAGCGGCCACAATGTCATAGTAGGGCTCATCGATGTTGTTCAGAATCTCTGAGCTGGACGACACCGAGCCGCTGTTGCTGCGCTGGGTGTCAAAGCTCGGGTTCTTCAGCGACTCTGGCCTGGCTGGCACTCTGTAATAGCATACGGTTGATTGGGTCGCTTGCAAGGCACACTCAAGGCTTACTTGGGGGGTCTTTTCACTACCACTGGGGGCGACTCATTCTCTTTTTTATTGAGGCCGTTCACTTCGATGACGGTCACAAAGGAGGCCTCCTGATCGGACTGTTTGGTCTCATTATCCAAGGAACAGTCCGAGGAGGATTTTCTCAACTGTCTGGATATTTCATTAATGCACATGTGAGCTGAGAAGGACTCATTGTTGGTGTGCCCGTCCTGTGATAGAATTGATACATCGGCGGAATCCTGCCAACGATAACCATCCTAGTTAGTCATTCTAGCGAACATTTCCGACTCCCGTGCAAATATTTACCTTTGATAGGGCATCATCCCCACCTATTCCCGAGTCAACACCCAAGATTTCCAACTGGCTTTCCTCGCTCACAGCCCTTTCTTTGGCCAATTTTTTCTTGTGCTGTTCCACATCGCACAACAGCCGCTCCAAGTACTCCACATAGAACTGCTCCTTTTCCAGTTCCTCCTTCAGTAGAGCCACCTTTTGCTTGTGTTTTGATAGGTTTGCGCGCACGTCCTCCTCCCAGGCCCCTGGCAGGGGGCTGTCCGGGAACCGCTGCAGCCACACTTGCTGAAAATCACCAAATACACTCATCGTCACTTTCTATTGCACATAATTCACTACAGGACATTGTTAAACCATAATTCAATGCAACAACAATCCTGACAACTTGGGGCCATTAGCACTGAGTGACATTTGGATGACGTTTCCAATTGGCAAAATTTGCCGATTGCATAAAAGCAGTTAAAAAGAGACCGGTCCTGATAGGTAAAGCAATTTTTCTTTATTTCAGCAGTTTCGTCCTTGTGTCAGACATCTCAGGCACGGGGTGTTTAAAATCGGCGTTTGTGAATTCACGAGGAGTTAGCAATTACTGAAATTTATCAGAAAATATTATTTTCCATTTTCGCAAGACAAAGAAGGAAATACCTGCGTTTTGGTTACTGGAAGCAAATTGGGGCGACCATAACCACATTCTAGTATCGCTTGTCTTCATCTATAGTTCTAGTCAGTTCAGTAGCTGAGTCAGAGACAAGTCTTGTCTCTGGCTGAGTGTAAAAATGAATAGCATAGGAGAGGCCTGTACGGACCTAAAAAAGCAATACGACGACTGCTTTAATTCCTGGTTCTCCGACCATTTCCTCAAAGGCAGAACCAACGACTCCATGTGTGCGCCCATGTTCAAAGTGTATCAGGACTGTGTAAAAGTAATCCACTTGCGCTCATTTCTGCTATAAATACCATGCCCTAATTCATTTATTTTGCAGAAGGCGATCAAAGCCCACAACCTGGACTTGGACGACGTGAGGAAAGACCTGCTAGGCACCCCGCAGGAGAAAAAGCCGCCTCATAAGCCTTGACAGTTGGAGCATTTAGGACAATAAGATTCGAATATAAGCAGTAAGTCTAGGATTAAGCTTCTTTTCCTTTACCCGGAGACTTAAAGGCCATTCTAGTGGTCTTAATGAGTTAGCCGAGAGCATTGAAGTTGTTACTTGCTGTCTCAGTGTACATATTGAGTTGCTACTAAAACACGTGAGCACTGTGATAAACTGGGTCTTTCATTGCTACACTATTCAACATAAAAAGCAAGTAAAAAAAACGACTAGAGGAGATGTGTTGTCATGGCAGAGGCAATCAGTTTCTCTTGCTAAATCCGGGCTTGAGAGGCATGTCAAAGACCACGGGCAGATTGTTGGGAATATAGTTAATATCACAGGTGGAGGCGTTGATGAAAATGATCTTTCCGTCGGAAGTGACCCCGTATCCTGAAAGGGCCTGCGTGAAAAGTAGAGCTGATTCACCCAAGCGACTAACCTTCATGAATGTGGCCAAAAACGTGGTACTTGGGCTGGACTCGGGTTTGCACTGTGTTGAGCAGCTCGACACATCCAGCGCGCACTCCCGAGCACACCAAATCGCCGTGCCCTAAAGGGGGCGTATGGGTGATGAGAATATCCGTATCGGAAGGAATGAGGTTCCACTTTGAGAGACACTCAGAGCCGCGGGGCAAGTTGAAAGCCCAGTCTCCAAACTCGGGTTGCCTGAAACTGCGCAGTTAACACTCACTTAGTCTGCTGGAGGGCCTTTTACCAAGGGCTCCCATATATTTTCACGCCGCAAATTTCAATGCCCGAGTCCTCTAGGTAGGTGCAGTTTGTCAGAAATTGTTTTATGTTCACGGTGTTTACGGCGTCGCTGATATTATCCTTGGTTTTCCCATAGTGTGCCACCTCATCTCCCACCTCTTTATGCGCGAATTTTTTCTTGAAAATGTGCGTAAACTTTGCATCGAAGCTCAGCTCATGGTTCCCAGCTATCACTATTTTGTGTCTATGCGGCAAGGAACCTATAAATCCTCAATGGCATCGGGAAACTACTACAAAGCGCTTGTTTAATTACCTATCCAATTGTTGAAGGCGACGACCTCCTCCTTTTGGCCGCACTTGGTAAAGTCGCCAGCATGGATGAAAACATCCCCATCTGGTACATCAAACACGATGTTCCTGACCAGTGAGTGCGTGTCGCTCATGCAGACAAACCTCAGCTTGTTCTCATCCGCAGGACTTTGCGGTATTTTCACTTTGATTTTGATCAGTTTCTGCGTTTGGCTGATCTCCTTCCAGGCAGCCGTCGGGCTTTCGCTCAAAGGATGAATGCCCACCTCGCCTTCCATGTTGGCGACACTTCAATTGTTAAATAAATCGCTCAATCATGTCCACAGCCCAACGGCTTAAATCTTTTCCCACAAAAGTGATAACGAAGATAACTCGGCGATAAACACTAGCTGACAGCGCGTCGGAAAAGCGAGGTTAGATCCCCGGACTTTGATTAGATTGTGCGTATGCAAACCTGATCCGACTAGGTCGTTCTCTTTCTTCGAAATCGGTGGAAAAGGACCGAAGTTTTCAAGTGGAGTTAGTGTTGTTTTGTTATTTTGGAGCCCCAAAACCTCAAACTCCATTTTTAGTTAAGTCGAGTGTGTCGAGTGTAGTGTTCTGTGTTAGTGTTTGTGTGCGGGGGGCAGACATGGGGGTTACGGTGCTAACGCAGTTCCCCATAGACAACCGTAGTGGTACCCAAACCATAGAAATCCTGAACAAACGCATTATGGCACTGGGGGCCTCCCAGCAGGGACAGTTTCTGGTGGATTGCGAAACCTACAGTTCATCAGCCTCATTGGGGCATCAGCGCACAGTGCACGTGCTGCACAACTCCGAACAACCGGCCACAGTGTTCTCCCTGCTAGACACTGGCACTAAAATCATCCCCCTGGTCACTGACGGGCTGTTCGACCTGCTGATGATGAAAATGTCCAGTTTCTACCAGTGCAAGAAGCAGACGAAGGCCGAATCAAAAGGCCCCCGCTACGAGATCGGGGACTTCTGCGTCAAGCTGGGCTCAGTGACTGTGAGTAGCAATTTCAAGGGGATTCTAGTGGAAGTGGAGTACAAGCCCTGCGTGGTTCCGTCCATGTGCTGGGACCTGATGATGGAGTTCATGCAAGGGTTCTTGGGGTCCTCGATACCCACTACGCCGCCCCCCTTTGTGCAGAATCGCATGCAGGATATTTACTCGCCCATCGACACTATTCAGCAGTATTTGGAGCATTTTACAAACTTTAGAAAGTCGCAGCCGGCGCCCATGATGATGAGGCCCCAGTAATACACTATAGTTGATCTTTGCGCGTATTTTTCTAGCCACTAATGTATTTCCTAGGGATTTTATTATAGAGAACCAAGGGGGGAGTTGCTAAGGCTCTGGGGCGTCGGGGGGCACCGCCTCGAATAAGACTTGCAAGCAGTAAGTGAGGCGATCTGAAACAGATTGCGAGTTTCATCGCTGGATTGAGGGAAGGACTGCGTCTTACTCAGACAGGCCTTGGGTTGGAGGGTCTTCTTGTAGCAGCAGCAGTAATAGACTGGGACGCCCAACAGGGCAAATCCTAGCGCAAATAGGTACATGGGGTCTGGATCAGTCACTATAGGGGTGACGCTCAGAAACACCGCCACCAGGCAGATGAAAATGGGGATCCAGGTTGGGACCTAAAGCGGGCCACATTTCGGCTGTTCATTCGTTATTCACCAACCGACTACCTTGTAAGGTCTGGGCACTTGGCTGCGGGTCCTCCGCAGGACTAGGAGGGAAACCATGGCGGTGCCGTAGGAGACCCAAATCATAAAACTGGCAAATTCGATGAGCCGCACAATATCACCGCTGGCAATAAAAATGAAGGCCACCAAGCCCTGGAAAGCCACGGCAGGCGCCGGCGTGTGTCTTTTATGGTGCACGAACGAAAAGCCCTGCAGCATAAACCCGTCCTGTCCAGACACGTAGCACAGTCTGGAAGAGTTACGGGATTAGCGCGTTAAAAGAGGAGCCAGCCTAGCTTGCCTGGTGACGCCGAACTGCACGCTCAAGGCGCACCCGAAGGTGCTCAGGGCCACCCCTAGGGGGATGATGAAGGCGAAGGGCCCGAGAATGCGCTCCCCAAAGGTGACTGCCACTGCTTGGGAGCCCACCATCTCCGGCACGCTAAGCACCGACATGTAGGCGATGTTCATGCACACGTAAAGAGCGGTCACTATGGGCACGCTGATCATGATACTTTTGGGGATGTTCCTGCAACATTAGCTTTGCTGGAAAGTGGGGAAACGTGCGGTTTGGTGCTCACCGTTCAGGCTGCTTGATTTCCTCGGTTACTGTGCTTACCGCCGACCTGAAAGGCCACACTTGAGCAAAATCATCCACAAAGCAAGTATAGAGAATGGAATACTTGCCATCCATCATACGCCCACAGGCCGCTGTAGAAGGAAAGGGCGATGTTTTTGGGGCTCGCGCTGGTGCCTGCGAAGCCCTGGGCTAGATTGGCAGTGTTGCCTGGAAAAGCCCCAGATTAGTAGCAAGGATTGAATGAGAACTCACCTAAAATGCACCGATGGACAGTTCGTAGACGCCGCAAGCGATCACCACCAGGCAGGCCAGCACCTTAAACGACCCGAAGATGTTCTGGACTTTAACGTAAAGTCGCACACTTCTGGAGTTAATGTAGGTGATGATTCCTGCGGGAAAACTCATGTTGATTGCTCGAAATTGCCACCGCTAAAGATTTAAGCACCAAGTCCAGCTAGGGCGACGGCCTTCTTCACTTGCTGGACGCCTTGCGGGTCTGCAATGCAAAGCGCGTCCATCACCGGCTGGCACAAGTACTCGGAAAAAGTTAGCACTATCACAGCCACCTCAGCCGGCCGGATTATGATCTGGAACAACCCCTTGGATAATCTGGACCCTTGAGGGCTTCCAAACCTACCACCATGAGCCAGGAGTAGAGAAAGGCCGGCAGAGGGCCCCAAAATGGGTGGAGCGGCGTGAAGGAGTCCATAAAGTAGGCGTACTCAGCTCCGGATCGCGGCACCACAGTGCTGAGCTCGGCAAAAGCCAGAGCACCTAAAAGGGTTGCGATACCATCATATGGTTGGTTTAGACCAGTGATTCTGGTACCTAAAAGCGAGATCACTCCGCAAATGGCCCAAACAACCAGGCACATCCCAACTGAGCCGCTGTATTTCAGTGCGGAGGCTGGAGATACGAAGATTCCCGACCCGATCATCACGGCCAGGATGAGGTTGATGGCCGAAAAGAGGCCCAGCTCTCGTTTCAGCCCCACTGCTGCTCCCTCTGGAACGTTTTCCTTTAACCCGCCCCCCTGCCTTAGTGTTAACTTACTCATGTTCGCTCAATCCTATGGCACATTCACTCAGTGAGGCTCTTAGGCTACTCCGCGTTCATGGCACTGTAGGTATGAACGCCTGCTAATGGCTTAATGATAACGCGAGATTAACACAGTAATTTTCAAATAATACACCCGAATAGTTGGAGATAAGAAAATGTGATCGATCCTAGGAGGTCAGTAACGCCTGAGAATCAACTAAGCGATTTCCTTCGTGCATTATTTCGGCTCTAAAGCGACTATTAGAGAATAATGGGACATATCCTCAGTGGGAAGGTCGATTTTATCAACTAAACCGCGCAAAGACTGGGATGGGCGCATTCCAGGCCCAACTGCTTAGGGAAATGCCCCCGTTTCCCAGGGCTTTGCGCCCTAAACTTGCGGCAAAATAAGTGAGCGTCTGGGCCAATTAGGACTAACGGGCGTGTTCCAAATGGGCATTGAGAACGTGAGCGCCGTTCAACTGTTGCTCGGTTTATCAATTATTGTGTTCCATCAGCAGTTTATTTGTTTGGAATCCGTTTATGCAGACATGTTTAATTAATGAGGTTTCCTAGATTAACTGCATATTGTTTACTTGATTGGCATTAAATAGCGCACTTTCTGAGCCCTGGATGTACAGGGCGTTTTCGCAAAGGGGCAGTGTGAAAGAAAACTGCAAGATTTTGCAAAGTTTTTATTGAATCCACTTTAACACTGACGCGGTACTTACAGATGAGGTTGTTTAATTAAGTTGTGTGACGCTCGGTTGATATGATTGATTAGCTTCTACTTGCGTCCGCTGCAATGGAAATCGGATTGATTGAGTAAAACTGGCTGGAGTGCTTTGAACGTTCACTTACTATCCTCCAGAGCCCGCTTTGGCTGAAGCGGAAGCTGTCGCCGAAGCCGATGCTTGTCCGCCCCCATAACCGCCTTGGTTGCCTGAAATTTTCATTTGGTTAATCAGTGGAAAAGTCCTTTGCAAAGTCACTCTCACCACCTCCATAGCCGCCACCGCCTTGCTGGCCGCCGCCCCCTTGGAAGCCGCCGCCTCCTTGATGTCCGCCGCCCCCAAAACCACCACCCTGTTGTCCTCCATAGCCGCCACCTTGTTGTCCTCCAAAGCCGCCCTGGCCGCCACCTCCTCCTAATCCGCCTCCTTTACCACCTCCAAGTCCACCTGGAGAAACCAAAGGGTTTTAGTACTAAAGTCACTGAAAGCGCGTAAAGTCAGAACATCGATGATCATCACGGCAAATCACATGCGGCTGCTGGGAAGAATTGTCCAACGACCTTCTAATTTTTAGAAAAGTTTTGACGAATTTTCAGGGTTTCAGTAAAAATCATGAATTAATTCAACTCCTTAACGCATACCTCCTAATCCGCCGCCGCCGCCGCCGCCTCCTCCAAATCCACCTCCAAATCCGCCGCCTCCGCCGCCTCCTAGACCGCCGCCCCCTTGGCTTCCATAGCCTCCAGGGGATCTTTTGCTTCGCGCTGCATCGACCGATTCGACTGGCTCAATGATCAGAACCTGGAAGCTCATTTTTAGCCAGTGAAGCGATTTGGGGCTTGACTGCTTACCTGCACTTCACCGACGGGTTCTTCCTCCTGCGGTAAGTTGGGGGCGGCGTGCGCCGCACAGGCTACCAAGAGCACCAAACACACTACTTTTAGGTAAGCCATCTTCAAAGGCTTTGACTAAGAGCGAGCGAAGCTCTTATTTATATGCTGATTGGATCTTTGATTTTTCCTCCTGTCGGTCTTCGTACCGTGTTAGTCTGCGCGTCTATGCCAGGGGATTAGTGAGGGATTTGCGGGTTTGAGGGAAGCCTAAAGAGCCCAATGCTAGGGCTTCAAAGCTATGAAAGTGTGTAGTAAGTGGGCAGGTTTGAGTGTGGCCGGGCGCGATCTTACGGGGGTTTAAGGGGAAAGGCTGGATGGGCACGAGGGCCCGCACTAAAAGGTAATACATCATTGATACTTATATTAGTGGTTACCTAAGAGGACCCATACGGAGTAGACTCAAGGTCGCGGTCTATCTGGGCAAAAAACCTCTTGGTAAACAATTACTGTGATCCTTTTAGCGTTTTTTTCCTAATCATTTTTCTTTTATGCTCGATGGGCTCGGTGCTGATTCCAACTAAAACACCATCCATCGATAGGTTGTTTATTTAATTAGAACATACATAGGTATACAGAGTGGTGTTTGCTGATGTTGTGCGAGTCCTCTTTTAGACAAAGCTCAAGTCTTCAAACCCCTGAGAAGAAGGTCGTGAAAAACTCCAAACTGGCGCTTGAACGACAAGAATATTCAGGCCTGATTGCTAGTAGGTCTCAGTAAACGGTTTGCACTCGGAAAATTGCATTATTTTTGCGGAAAATTGATCTTCCGGCCTGGAAAATGTGTTCCAAACTCTTCTTCTCTGGTCATTTGGAGCAACCCCTGACGGACCATCCTGTATATGGGCCTACTATGGTAATGTATATGTAAATTTGGCCAGCATCTGGGCGGTTTCCGGGTCAAGTGAGACCAACAGGCATTAATTGCGCATAAATAATGGGTTCTGGCGAAAAGTTTCAGCCGCCCGCCATCCTCAGGATTTGGTTAAGACGAACGAGATTTTCTCATGCAGAAAAAACTGACAATCATGTATAATTGGCAAACAATTCCACTAATTGCGTGATGTTTCAATTAGCATATCATTTGAAGGCCGGTTTTGTTGTCATGTGCTGTATCGGGATTCCCTCTGCTTAAGTGCAGGTTTCAGTAAAACAACAAATTAATGAATAAGTCTTTATTCAAGTAGATAGTTAGGACAAAGCGTGGTTAGTTTCATTTGCCGCACCCTCCGCATAGCCTATTGCCGCGCCCTCTGCCGCCGCCGGCTCCGCCGCCCCCTGAAACCGGCAAAAATTGCATGTTTTTGCTTGGAAAACTTTGGCAAACTCACCTCCAAATCCTCCCCCAAAGCCACCGCCGCCTCCGAATCCGCCGCCCCCTCCAAAGCCGCCTCCGCCTCCGAAACCGCCACCGCCTCCCCGACCTCTGCCAGGCAGCGGGTCAGGGGCGCGCCGGTCCCTCACTAGAATCTATAACTCGATTTAGCTCTGGTTTGTTAGTTGGTTGCCTCAACTTACCTCGTCCTCCAGAGGGGCGGCCAAAGAGGCGACCACACAAAGCAAAAACAGCAAAGGAAGCAGTTGTAGAGCCATTTCTGTGCGGTGTGGAGCTACGCTTTGCCTTTTATATGTTAGATTTGCACCTACTTACTCTAAATGCACTCATGAAGGAGATTTGTGCATTTCAAGAGCCAATTAGTGGCTTGTGAAGAGGTTGCCGATATGGCAAGGCCGCATCCTTAATTCCCAACTTGCTGAGCATTCAGGAAAGTCCACCGATTTGAAACTTGATTCTCAACAATTATGCTGTTTTGATATCGTCCAGCCTTCAGCAAATGAGTATTATTTCGTAAACAAATGCGGATGTTTAATCAGGAGCCAATTAATCACTTATCTATGCAAACAGTCTTATTTGTTTTATCAGCTGCAAGCGGCAATTAAGAATATTCGCAGAACGCGCGGGTTTAGATCGGGAATTCCAAGTGGCTTGGAGCCTGAACTGCTCACTCTATGCCCTTCTTTGCGCGTACATTCAACATCTTCAGCAGTAGATACCATCGAACCTACCGCGACCTTGATCTTTGCCGACTGTTTTTCTTTGAAATGTACCTGGTCTACCGGTTTTTTTGGCAGAACGGTTCTTCGGATTTAGATTATTGGCATCGTGCGGCGTAGGATCGATTCTATGGGTTTCGGGACTCCCTCCAGATGCCCAGTAGAGTTTATTTTGCATATACAGTGTGTTTGTATGTGCAGTGTGTATGTGTGTCTTCCGTCCCGTTTTTGCTCATTTCTCGGAGGCAAAATCAGCAAGAACACTCATTTGTACGTCATTCTCGAGAGAAATAAATGGCCTTTTTAGAAAGTGGACCATCGATAAGGATAAGGTTGTCAGTTTTCTCAAAAAAGGCTTGAATTCAAGAAGTTTCAGATTTGCGTCGTTTTTTTTTAGTTGCAAAATCCACTTGAACATGACGCTGCTTTTTTCGAAGTTTCTCAGGAACCATTCGAGCCACAGAATTCGTTTTGGCATCGTTGGATAGAGAATTGAAAACTCGATTCAGTCGTAACAAGTGAGTGAGGAAATTCGAGTAGTTTTGACTCAGAAAGCGAAATTTGAATATCAGACACTTAGGTGCAAGATTATGCCAACATTTCATGTTTTCCGTCCCGTTTTTGCTCATTTCTCGGAAGCAAA